CAATTATACACACGTGCTGCATCACTTCCTTCATTACCACATTGTCCATTGTTTAATGCTCTGATTTTTTCCCTATAATTATTTTATTCCTTAATCACAACTTGTTGTTTTGTGTCTTTCATTTACATAAATTTTCAGACTGTTAATAATTCTTGTTACGAAACCATATTGTTGTTTCTAAAGTTCACTTTCTCTTACAGTTTAGATTTTCCTACACGTTTCTTTGAATAACTCATTACGTTACTTTCACTATAGTTTCTACCTATCTGTCTGTTTCCTCGTAAAGTAATTTATTGGACAGATATAGGCAGAAAAAGTTTAATACAAAATTATACAAGTTATAATTTGTTTAAAAATAAAAGTTTCTCCGGATTTTACAAATAATTTTATTGAGCATTCGACCCGTTGCTTCGAGCCATGGAAAATTCCTTCCTTCAGCTCACGGCAATGCCATTCCTCAGGATGAAGAAAAGTGGATATATTTTCTGTTGCTCCTTAAAATTGTTGACATTGTTTTTTCACCAATCACAAACACTGATGAACCTGCTATCCTGGAAGCATACCTGGAGGAATTTTTGTGGAAATTCACCCAGCTTTATCCTGGGCTTTCAGTTATACCCAAGATGCATTACTTGGTTCATTACCCAGCTCATGTTTACAGGTATGATTTTGCTGGTTTGTATCTTAGTTTATTAATGAAAATGTGGTATGTAACTGAAAATGCATGTGAAAGTTACATCATTGGTTTCCCTCTAGCTAACATGAGTCCTTGATTTTTTCAGATTTGGACCAATGATTCGGAGCTGGTGCATGCGATACGAAGCAAAGCACAGTTACTTTAAAAGATTGGCTTCATACCTTGGAAACTTCACTAATGTTGCACTTAGCCTTGCTGAACGACATCAAACCAGAAGTTTCTATCTAAGAAATCAACCCATTGCAAAAAAGCCTAAAATTGGTATTGAATAGATTGATATTAATTCTAAAAACAAAGAGGTCAATTTTTAGTAACCTCTCTAGTAAGATAATAAATTGATGTTTGTTTGTTTCCTATAACGAGTAGCTATGTTTCTTGGTTTAAATTTTGATGAAATTGAAATCACTTCTTACATTGTTTACGACGATTTATTTGTTTTAGTTTGCGAGAATATTCAGCTTTCCCATTTTCTGACTCATAAATCGACGAAATAATTTATAGTAATTATCGATAAAAAAAATTAAATTGTTATACTATAGCTCCATTTCAGAGCAATAGATCAATGACATCGCATATGGTCGTTTATAAGATTCTACTTTTTTATGCCATATGTGTAGTGAAAAATTATAATTTTCTCGCTAAGTAGGAGTGATACTGTAGCTGATTTTTAACAAATAACAAATACACAATTTTGAATATTATTATCGCAACTGTTCTCACGAACAAAATAGTGAAGGCCATATACATGTATCATCATACAATAAAACTATACAGACAAGTATGATTATAGAAATGAAGGGAATCTTGCGTTAAAACTTCATGGACATGCCATTTGTGGTATGAAAAGATAAAAATATCCACATTCCTTTTGTATCAAAGTTTTATTTGAAAAATGAGTTAACAAAATAACTGAAATAACAGTTTCTAACTACAACAACAACTTTTTTTTATAAAATCATTACTTGCTTATTTATCACGTGGTTGGCATGGAGCTTCAACCTACACAAACAGAGATAATGAAGCATTTACTTTTACTTAATAATTAAAAAAAAATTAGTTTTTGTGATTCTTACCACTCCACATTTTACAGCATTTAAAACTGTCAATATCCTTTAGCCAATCCCCAGAATCTCGTCTTAACCCAGTGACGTAGTAGCCAACTTTTTTACACACTGTCCATCCTTTTTTGTTGAAATCATTCTTGATATTTTCATGGTAACAATCATTATACTTGTCGGGATGATTGACTGGTTTGCAACATTTTCCCTCTTCGAGGTTATGTAAGTGGTGTCCGTTTGTGCGATAGAGACCATTTAGAAAATATCCATTTGAACAAACACTCCATCCTTTTCTGAAATACATTTTTAAGGAAATAAATTTCTATCTTTATTTTTTTTTGAGGACTGAATGACACACAGAGCACTGCATTTACTATTTTTTGTCGTTTTTTGTTGCTGTTCAGCATTTAGAGTTAAACAGCTTATCCTGCATATTTTTTCATATTATTTATACATTTATGTATACAGTCTTAAATAAGTCAATTTTATTACGTAAATCTTCATTAGACAGTGTTGCTACACAAGTTAAAATGTAGCTAGCTACGAGCACATGGAAAACCAACAGACAAAAGATCATAAGAAAATTTTTTCACTAAATTAAAGGACAACTTTCAAGACATTGCGCCTTGTTTTTAATTGAAAAGCTGTTTAAGTTGCCACGTTAAGAGGCTAAAAATGATTCGGCTATCGGTTGCTACTAATACCATCAGTGTTCACAATTAGGTAACAAAAGCATAAAAGTACAAAACTTGATGAAAATCAAAATTGAAAGTGAGAATAGTAAGCACTATCCTGGATCAACCTTTAAAAAAAAACCTGTAAATATTGGTACGCATTTTTACGTGAAACTAAACAATCATAAAAGTTAATCATTTTAAATCATAGTGCAAGAAATGTATCCAAATTCTTTACGTTTCCTTCATTTTCATAGTAGCAAGAACTGAGAAAATGAACCAACAGACAATTAATACCAGTTAAAAGATTGATTCTGGGGGAAAATACTAACTTGTTTAAAGAGTCCCACCAGTCAGCATTTTGGCAAATACTTTTCTGTCCAATATATATTGGACTAGATTTGCAGCATTTGGCTTCTTCAAGACGGTAAAGTCCATCATAGTTGGGACTTAATGTGCTGCGATATAAGCCAGTGATAAACTGGTTTGTGGTGTTACAAGTTGACCATCCTTGTTTGTTGAAAGACCTCCACCAATTTGCTTTTACACAGACTGGCTTGACGTTGACTAAAATAAATAACGTAATTTATATTTAAAAATGAAAGGACAGAGCAATAATTCACTAGGGAAGTTTTTATTGTGACTAAAAATAGAATCTTTGAAGCAACATTATTATTTGACAATATTCATTGGTTGCATACGGAATGACAGACTTGAGGTAAAAAATAATCATATATTATGCGATTATGTGCATAAGTAGCTTTGAATTGGTTTTGAACGTTATTAAACTCAGACCCGTTGCAAAGTGATCACAACTGGGGGAGGGGGGGTGGGGTGGGGGTTGAATGTCAAATTGAAGAGTGGAAACATCGTAATATGCAGATATATTGAAAAGACAAGTACATCAAAAGACTTTTTTATTTTGTTTTACTGCTTAAGTTGAATTAACAAGTATCTTTTAAAATAAAATTTTATCAGTTATCAACTTTATTATTCAAATCAATGAGACCGTGCTGACAGAATACTACAAGCTTAAGTTTATAAAAGTTGAAAGTCATCATAACAAATAATCAATACAAAACAAGTTGTCTTCGTTTATACGTTTTGATAAACACTCGTGCACGACGTAAAATTAATCAAAGGCAAAGCAGAAGTAAACGCTGCAAGATAATACTAGATTACAAGCACAAAAGTCAGTCAAACATAGAATAATTTTATGAATTTGTTACACTAAGCCTGCATTCTGTTGAATGAAAATCGGGAGAAAAAATATTGCGGCTGACAGCCAGAGGGAAATCATAAAAAAACATCAAATACACAAATTAAAATATCTAGGGTAACAAATTTACAGTATCATATTAAATAAGGATTTTCCCATAAAAAATACAATAGCTTACCCGTGACATCTAGACAAAGTTTAAATTCTCGTATTCAACTTCCTAATCTGACTATAATATATAAACCCTAACACGGTTTTTAATATGCACATGAAAAACATGTGACTTGCACGAGATTTCAATTCGCACCTTCGGGATACTAGTCCACCGCTCTACCTGTTGAGCTACCAAGCCCACAGGGATTGGAGACGAGTCAAATCTCTTAAAACTGCGTATGGGCGAGATACTCGCCACTATAGCAGTTTACTGGATGGCACCGTGTTTCGACTTTATTCCAAAGATCATCATCAGAGAATACATATAATATATTAATGCTATATCTGACTATAGTAAGATAAGTTTTTACTCATTTATATTTTCCTTCATCAACGCATTCACTTGTGCCCATTACCGATTTTATTTCAAAAGTTCGTCAACAATTACCGACTGACAATAAGTGTTAAAACAGAATTTTCTTCAACTTTAATTTCGATTACAAATTTTTGAATAAATGTTTTTTTTGCAGAAATTACTTTCCCATATCACAAGCAAGTTTTGTGATTTTGATTTCAAAATATGATACTCAGCTTTGTGAAGGCCATACGAAAAAGTCACCAGTTTGCCTCCTAAGTGTAATTGGTACGTTTAAAAGTTTGTGTGTTGAGGAGATTGGCTTGAAATTGGAATGTAAAGTGCCTAAATCAATTTTAGCATATATTTGCAATATATTTTATTACCCTAAAATTTGACCTTCCTTGACGTTTTGGGCCTCAAAGTTGCCTTATTTCTTATTTGGCCGTGAGGTGCTGTCTGGGTATAGTTCACAGGACGTGGCGCACATTGGAGAATACGCTGCTTTTTAAAGCAGTAGTTTATAGTAAAATTTGTAACAAAGTCAAGAAATTTATGTTTTAGTAAACTTAAATTATATTGTGCTCTTTGTTATTGAATCTTTACGTAACAATCTCCGGTTGTATATTGAAGAACCATGTTTCGTACCAGGTGTCAACAAATATCCTCGTTTGATTTGGAAAAATCATTGACTCTTCAGGCCACTTATGAAATGATTACCCAGGTATATGCTTAAATTTGCAGTCTTTTTGCCGAATTTATTTGTTAAAATAGAAAACTATGTCAATTAATAACGACTAATGACAATAACTTGAATTAAATTCAAGTTAATGTTCTGTTGGTGCTATGCACCTAAAATTTATGAAAAGTTTAAAGATTAATAAATTATGCCATAATTACGTAATTTGTACCAAAATTGTTGGAAACTAATTTTTCATTAAGAAAATATATGAGTGGACTTACGTTCGCAATTCTTTCCAGTAAAACCAAATTTACATTCACATTTATAAGAAGATCCAACAATTGTACAAACACCTTCATTTTTACAAGGTCCTTTTGCACATGCATTCGTAACTAAAAGTAAAAAAAAAATATATATCAGAATTTTTTGTAATAAAAATGCATTTAAAAGTTTGTCTTTTATTGCTAATATCATATGTAGCTTATGTTTATGAGGTAGTTTTGTTTGTGTTTTAGACATTCAAAACAATTTCCATTGGTACGATATGCCAGTCAAAGTATGTAAAAACAAAGTTGTATCTGATATTTGAATGATTATAAAACATTTTTGACCCATATTCAACTCTTATACATTGATATAAAATTGTATTTTTTTACAAATTACTTTAAGAAAACTTAAACTTTACAAACCTTCACAAGTGTTGCCTTCAAAACCAACAGCACATTCACACGAAAATGTATCTCCATTAATTGAACAGATACCGTTGTTTTTACAAGGACGAGAGTCGCATGGTGTTGGTGGTAACTCTATGGACAGAAAGATTATAGGATTACAGTAAATGATATTTTTCCTTGATATTCAAAGCATATAATTAAATATAATTGCACAAAAACTAGCTATGAAATGTGACATGTTTGTAAATGTCAATCGTCCAGGTTGGTATAGTTCTGAGAAGGACTGTTTTTGTTGTTGTTGACAGACGTTTCGACAACCTTAGCGGTAGTCATCTTCAGAGTCAAATGAGGAGTAAACGTCAGGTTAGCCGTATTTGTTATCTGGTTTTTACGTCATTGTAATGGGTGTACAGGAAATGTGTATTGTCATAGTGAATTATTTGTGTAATATTTTTATTTTTAGTTGTGATGTGTGATTTAGTTGTGACATTTCTAGTTGTATGTGTGGGTGTCAATTGTGTATTGTCATTGTGAATTAGTGTGAAGTGTAATGTTTTTTGTTGATCGTTTGTTTGTATTGTGAATAAGTCGTTTTCAAGGTCCCGCTAATTGCTGTGACCTGTTCAGGGTTTGTTCCAAGTTGGTACACCAACTTTCTAATGTAAGCCGTTGTCTATAGTCAGTACTGTAAGTAATGCATTTTCCCGAGTCCCAGTCAATTTGTGCTTTGTGATTCGGTGATGTTCGGCAATGTGATTAGTTTTGTCTTGTTTTTTAGTAGCTCGTTTGTGTTCAGTAAGTCTTATGTTTAAGTTTCTGCCAGTTTCCCCGATATAGGAGGCGTGGCAGTCGGAGCAGTTTATTTTGTAAACTGCACCTTGTCGTTCGTTGGGTTGTTCTTTGTCCTTTATGTTCGTTAGTACTTGCCGTAACGTTGTGATTGGTTTATTTGCGACACGTATATTGTATAAAAGCAATTGAAACTTAAAGCAATAACAATAAAAAGAATTGTTATTTGACTTGTGCAGTTCCTTAATTATAAGTGTAACATAACAAACCTTCACAAGTTTTGCCATGATATCCATTGATACAAATACAAGAGAATGTATCTCCTTCCTCGAGACAACCACCATCATTTTTGCATGGGAACGATTCACAAGGACCTATAAACATATTTAGTATAGTAAGCATTTGTTAGAATAGGTTTGTGTTTGAAGAATTAAATAACAAAAGAGTTGATATATGTTAAAAAAACGTTAAAATCTTCTTGTGTAGCAAAAAAGTGAATGTTCTACAGCTGATTGTTAAAAGGTATTTTGTTTGATAAAACTCATGTTCATAAGTTTTTAATATAAAATTTAATTAAGAACTTTTGCGGGTGACTAATCACCGCATTTCACTTGTCTTATTTCGACATCTTTCAAGCCTTAAAAACGCAATGTTATTCTCACTTTTGGAGGAGCAATTCCGGTCTTCCACACACGCCATAGCTCCCATATTACACGTACTGAAGAAAAGACACAAAACAAAAAAACGAAACTATAGTGAAAATAAAAATTATTGGTATAATTATGCTTGAAGAAATACCGACCAGGTTTTACAACGTCCAACTTTCACACTTTCACCCGCCTTGTAATAATTTCCTTCAAAGAAACATGGGCATTCCTTCATAGGAACGCAATGATTCTTCTCGTCCAAGTAAGATCCTTTTGGACACTGGCATCCAGGAATGCATCTTTCACTGCATTTTAAACCACGTGATATATCACGACATGTTTTGGCACAAGCAGATCCGCATTCTGTGAAAATTTCTCCTTTGTTACTGCATGTTTTTTCTACATAACAGATAATGAACTTTCAAGGATAAATTTATTTATGTACGAACAACTATTCTGTGTCAAAGTGTTAAAAAAAGCGAATGCTAGTTTACAAATTTATTTTTACCACATTCTTTGAGTTTTGGATATAAATAAGTTCCATTAAATCTCCAGTCAATTACACCGCCATATTCAACACAAAGTTTACTGTAAGCAGCAAAAGCGTTACAAACACATTTCATTGGATCTGTGCAGCGACATGCGTCATATTTACAATTACTGATCAAGGCGGCTGGATCAACATAACGGTTGCACGCTTTGTGGAATGGAGATGAAGCATCGCTCATCAAGTGACATTTATCTATAACAGCTTTCTTCTGGGAAGCAATGATACATGGTTGAGATGATGACGCACATTTTCTGCTGTATTGATTGTCATCATCTCGACGACCATTGTTGTTGCCACATAGAGATGTGCTGCAAATCTTTCCCTTAAATTTCCCTGAAACGGTGACTTTGACGTATGTCCTACTGTTCCAACTCGTCGACATTCCGATGTCAGCAGTAAAAACCAGCCAACTCCCACTGGGATTGGTGATTTTAAATCCTTAAAAAAAACATAGTTATATACTAAAAGCAAAAAGATCTCTTTGTTCTACTAAAAATGAGGTGACAATAGGGGTTTACCTACTGTCATAATTTTTAAGCTCTTTAATAATCTTTCCTTAATATTACAAAGATTAATTTAAAAGATGTCAAGAAAAATAACCTAGAAACACATACCAGGACGAACTATTGGAAATTGTGAAAGCCTAACTCCGTTTACAACTGCGGAACGTCTCTGACGAGTGAACTGAATGAAGTAACCAGCTATATAAATCTTAACAGCCGCTGTACAAGTGACACGCCTCCCACAACGTGTATTTTTAGTGCGGACTGTAAAAAGTTTGTTTTCGCTGCAATCTTTAGCAAAGTCGTATTCACAATCTCCCATGAAGTTAAATCTTTTGCCATCAAATGAGGTGTAATGAGGATCTCCAGATGCAATGCATGTTGCTACAGAAATTATAAAGAATGCAACATGAAACAGGAACTATATTCAATTTTTGTATAGTTAAATGCTTTGGCATGGTGGAAAACGCTGAGTGCGATGTTAAATTTTGCAATATGAAATGTTTCTTGACTTTCTATAATCGCTTAAAGGACAGATTTTTCATTTTTTGCCTTTTCAAGGAAAGCGGAATTTTCATGAAAAACTGCAGAGTCTATGTTTGCTGCAGCAACATGTTCAGAAAAGTCATTTAAACGACGGACTGATCATTATTTTTAAGTTGATGTGTGACTTTTAAACGAAAATAATGTTCAATGTTTTCTGCAAGTTACATTACACACTCTTTGCCCTGCACTTCGTCTTCTCCATCATGCCAGTTAAGTATTATTAATAATGAACAACATGAAAGCATGCAGAACGAAGATTATTTAAGCATGTCTTGAGATTAAATTTTTTGAATTAAATTTTAACAAACAAAATTGAATTAGAAATCACTGGTTGTTTTAGTAATTGCGTAGCTAAAAATGAAATTTCTGGTGTTTATACTTACATTGTGAATGTTCGCAGTTGTTTCCGCCAAAAGCAGGTTTGCATTTACATGTGTAGCTGTTACCCAAAATGTTGCATTGTCCACCATTTTTACATGGATTTGGCTCACAAGGATTTGGAACTTCTAAAATAAAACCCAAAATACTATTTGTAAGATAATTTTTAAAACATAATGTTTTCTGTTAGAGTACGTAAATCTATTTGCTAGAGATGTCGTTACGAAAATTGACTTTTGTTGAAAAATACCAACTTTATAATATTTAGACGCGATATTGTATTTGTATAAAGGTGAAACCAGTCAAATGTACTAGTTTTTGGTAAGACATGATACTATAGTATAAAACTACAGGTTTATTATTTCAAGCCATATATGTGTGTTATTTACGTATTGCAGTCAAACGTTCCCTGATATAGAATGTTTTATTGAACAAACTTTCGGCTGTCTGTCTACATCCTTTGACGGAGGCTAACATGCAGAATGCTGTAAACAGAAAACCGAAAGCTTATTCAGCAAAAAGTTTCTTATCAGTGAATGTTTTACTGCATTATGTATAATCCTGATATGGGATCACGCATTATTTCTAGATACGTAGTGTTACAATGAATGTAAGATTTTCATTTACTTGTTTCACAGTGAATACCAATAAAGTCTGGAGGGCATGTACATTTGTATGAACTACCATCAACAACACACGAACCACCATTCTTACAAGGACTATGATCACAAACTCCAACTATATCAAAAATATATTTTAATTGTATGTAAACTTGATCTGCATACTGACAATAAATGGTATATCTTCATAATCTGTTCTAGCTGCTTTAAATAGAATATTACTCTTGTATTACACTTTGCTAAAAATGATTAAGAATGTTTTCTATAATAGTACCTAGTACTTCAAAATTTTGATCATATTCATCAATAACCTGTGCAAAATGCTAATGAAAGCTGCTATAGAAAAAACACGTCTATTTGTGTCATTGATATAAAAAACTTAAATTATGAATATTGTCAAGTTTTAGGTAATCTGGCGTCATTTGAAGTCTGGCAGTATCAACTTTGCGAGATTTATTTTCTATAAAATTTCTGCATCTCTCCTGATTTAAATGCATGTTGATTGCAATTCAATTAAGAAAATGTATGAGTAGACTTACCCTCGCAATTCTTTCCAGTGAAACCATATTTACATTCACATTTATAAGAAGATCCAACAATTGTACAAACACCTTCATTCTTACAAGGTCCTTTTGCACATGCATTCGTAACTAAAATTAAAAAATTATTAGTCACAACTTTTTGTGATGAAAATAGTTTTAAACGTTTTTGCTTGTGTTATTATTGCTAATATCATATGTAGCTTATGTTTATGCGGTAATTTTATTTGCGTTTTAGACAGGTACATTATGCCAGTCACGGTGTGTGAGAACCAAGTTCTATTTGATATTTGAATGATTTTAAAACATTTTATCATCCATATTCAACTCTTATACATTGATATAAAACTGTATTTTTCACAAATTACTTTAAGGAAAACTTAAGCTTTACAAACCTTCACAAGTGTTGCCTTCAAAACCAACAGCACATTCACACGAAAATGTATCTCCATTAATTGAACAGATACCGTTGTTTTTTACAAGGACGAGAGTCACATGGTGTTGGTGGTAACTCTATGGACAGAAAGATTATAGGATTACTGTAAATGATATTTTTTCTTGATATTTAACGCATATAATTAAATATGATGGCACAAAAACTAACTATCAAATATAAATTTTAAATAACAATGACAAAGAGTTTTGTTAAAGTTGTTTGGTGACCAAAATTTACAAATATTTTTTTTAAAATCTGTGAGCATACCCAATTTAATGTGGCAACTACTATTTGTATTTTAAACCGCAGTAGTTTCGGAGATATCCACTTTAATGTGGTAAACCTATTTTATATTTCTTTTTTAGTTAGGGAGAACCACAATATAAAAAGCTGATATTTTGATGGCGGTAAGAAGCTAAAGAAGGTAAAACCAAACAAAGAAAATCGACAACTTTCTCATTACATACAAAATATAATGTTTCTGTTACACAATGACAGTCAAAATGGCAGTCTTAAAAAGCCTTACTGATGTGTAAATTAATGAGGTCTAAATTTGAGCAAAAACACTAAGAGTTTTAGTGTTGGAAAAATGTTGCAAACATATCTGCTTTTTTAAATATAAAAATGGCATCTAATACTCTTGTATAGATGAGTCCAACTCATTTTTCTGCCATTTCTTATGACGTCCGATATTTCACTGCTTAGTTTTAAGTGTAAATAGCCAGCGAATTATTTGAGTAAAAGCAAATTAATTATTTGCGTAAAATCATATTATAGCCAGATCAGTGAGTGAAACATAGGGCCAACATTTTCTTAACTTCTTCTTCTTCAATGTACTACGTATAGATTGTGCGAGGAAGCCTAATAAAGTGCAAGGACTGACGGGGAGCGTGAGGAGATTTTTCATTAAAACATATAGGTTAACCATCAAACGGGCTTTTGACAAAAACCACGCCCGTAAGCAAATAAATAACGTTATCTAGTAGAAAATATTTAATTTAATCGCTTTTCGCAATTCAGTTATCTCATGTTTGCATTTTGTATAAAACTTGAAGTAGTAACAATAAAAAGAATTGATATTTGACTTGTGCAGTTCCTTAATTATAAGTGTAACATAACAAACCTTCACAAGTTTTGCCATGATATCCATTGATACAAATACAAGAGAATGTATCTCCTTCCTCGAGACAACCACCATCATTTTTGCATGGGAACGATTCACAAGGACCTATAAACATATTTAGTATACTAAGCGTTTGTTAGAATAGGTTTGTGTTTGAAGAATTAAATAACGAAAGAGTTTATATATGGTAAACAAACGTTAAAATCTTCATGTGTAGCTAAGAAGTAAATGTTTTACAGCTAATTGTTAAAAGCTTTTTGTTTGACAAAACTCATGTTCATAAATTTTTAATATAAAATATAATTGGCAACATTTTGCGGGTGACTAATCACTGCATTTCACTTGTCTTATTTCGACATCTTTCAAGCCTTAAAAACGCAATGTTATTCTCACTTTTGGAGGAGCAATTTCGGTCTTCCACACAAGCCATAGCTCCCGTATTACACGTACTGAAGAAAAAACACAAAAAAAATATAGTGAAGATAAAAATTATTGGTATAATTATGCTTGAAGAAATACCGACCAGGTTTTACAACGTCCAACTTTGACACTTTCACCCGCCTTGTAATAATTTCCTTCAAAGAAACATGGACATTCCTTCATAGGAACACAATGATTCTTCTCGTCCAAGTAAGATCCTTTTGGACACTGGCATCCAGGAATGCATCTTTCATTGCATTTTAAACCACGTGATATATCACGACATGTTTTTGCACAAGCAGATCCGCATTCTGTGAAAATTTCTCCTTTGTTACTGCATGTTTTTTCTACATAACAGATAATGAACTTTCAAGGATAAATTTATTTATGTACGAACAACTATTCTGTGTCAAAGTGTTAAAAAAAATGAATGCTAGTTTACAAATTTATTCTTACCACATTCTTTGAGTTTTGGATATAAATAAGTTCCATTAAATCTCCAGTCAATTACACCGCCATATTCAACACAAAGTTTACTGTAAGCAGCAAAAGCGTTACAAACACATTTCATTGGATCTGTGCAGCGACATGCGTCATATTTACAATTACTGATCAAGGCGGCTGGATCAACATAACGGTTGCACGCTTTGTGGAATGGAGATGAAGCATCGCTCATCAAGTGACATTTATCTATTACAGCTTTCTTCTGGGAAGCAATGATACATGGTTGAGATGATGACGCACATTTTCTGCTGTATTGATTGTCATCATCTCGACGACCATTGTTGTTGCCACATAGAGATGTGCTGCAAATCTTTCCCTTGTATTTTCCTGAAACGGTGACTTTGACGTATGTCCTACTGTTCCAACTCGTCGACATTTCGATGTCAGCAGTAAAAACCAGCCAACTCCCACTGGGATTAGTGATTTTAAATCCTTAAAAAAAACATAGTTTTATACTAAAAGCAAAAAGATCTCTTTGTTTACTGATCTCTAAAAAATGAAATGTCAAGAAAAAATAACCTAGAAACACATACCGGGACGAACTATTGGAAATTGTGAAAGCCTAACTCCGTTTACAACTGCGGAACGTCTCTGACGTGTGAACTGAATGAAGTAACCAGCTATATAGATCTTAACAGCCGCTGTACAAGTGACACGCCTCCCACAACGCGTATTTTTAGTGCGGACTGTAAAAAGTTTGTTTTCGCTGCAATCTTTAGCAAAGTCGTATTCACAATCTCCCATGAAGTTAAATCTTTTGCCATCAAATGAGGTGTAATGAGGATCGCCAGATGCAATGCATGTTGCTACAGAAATTATAAGAAATGCAACATGAAACATGAACTATATTCAATTTCTATATAGTTAAATACTTTGGCATGGTGGAAAACGCTGAGTGCGATGTTAAAGTTTGCAATATGAAATGTTTCTTGACTTTCTATAATCGTTCCAGGGACAGATTTTTCTTTTTTTACCTTTTCGAGGAAAGCGGAATTTTCATAAAAAGCTGCAGAGTCTATGTTTGCTGCAGCAACATGTTCAGAAAAGTCATTTAAACGACGGACTGATCATTATTTTTAAGTTGATATGTGACTTTTAAACGAAAATAATGTTCAATGTTTTCTGCAAGTTACATTACACACTCTTTGCCCTGCACTTCGTCTTCTCCATCATGCCAGTTAAGTATTATTCATAATGAACAACATGAAAGCATGCAGAACGAAGATTATTTAAGCATGTCTTGAGATTAAATTTTTTGAATTAAATTTTAACAAACAAAATTGAATTAGAAATCACTGGTTGTTTTAGTAATTACGTAGCTGGAAATGAAATTTCTGCTGTTTATACTTACATTGTGAATATTCGCAGTTGTTTCCGCCAAAAGCAGGTTTGCATTTACATGTGTAGCTGTTACCCAAAATGTTGCATTGTCCACCATTTTTACATGGATTTGGCTCACAAGGATTTGGAACTTCTAAAATAAAACCCAAAATACTATTTGTAAGATAATTTTTAAAACATAATCTTTTCTGTTAGAGTACGTAAATCCATTTGCTAGAGATATCGTTACATAAATTGACTTTTGTTGAAAAATACCAACTTTATAATATTTAGACGCGATATTGTATTTGTATAAAGGTGAAACCAGTCAAATGTACTAGTTTTTGGTAAGACATGATACTATAGTATAAAACTACAGGTTTATTATTTTAAGCCATATATGTGTGTTATTTACGTATTGCAGTCAAACGTTCCCTGATATAGAATGTTTTATTGAACAAACTTTCGGCTGTCTGTCTACATCCTTTGACGAGGCTAACATGCAGAATGCTGTAAACAGAAAACCGAAAGCTTATTCAGAAAAAAGTTTCTTATCAGTGAATGTTTTACTGCATTATGTATAATCCTGATATGGGATCACGCATTATTTCTAGATACGTAGTGTTACAATGAATGTAAGATTTTCATTTACTTGTTTCACAGTGAATACCAATAAAGTCTGGAGGGCATGTACATTTGTATGAACTACCATCAACAACACACGAACCACCATTCTTACAAGGACTATGATCACAAACTCCAACTATATCAAAAATATATTTTAATTGTATGTAAACTTGATCTGCATACTGACAATAAATGGTATATCTTCATAATCTGTTCTAGCTGCTTTAAATAGAATGTTACTCTTGTATTACACTTTGCTAAAAATGATTAAGAATGTTTTCTATAATAGTACCTAGTACTTCAAAAATTTTGATCATATTCATCAATAACCTGTGCAAAATGCTAATGAAAGCTGCTATAGAAAAGACACGTCGATTTGTGTCATTGTTATAAAAAACTTAAATTATGAATAGTGTCAAGTTTTAGGTAATCTGGCGTCATTCGAAGTCTGGCAGTATCAACTTTGCGAGATTTATTTTCTATAAAAATTTCTGCATCTCTCCTGATTTAAATGCATGTTGATTGCAATTCAATTAAGAAAATGTATGAGTAGACTTACCCTCGCAATTCTTTCCAGTGAAACCATATTTACATTCACATTTATAAGAAGATCCAACAATTGTACAAACACCTTCATTCTTACAAGGTCCTTTTGCACATGCATTCGTAACTAAAATTAAAAAATTATTAGTCACAATTTTTTGTGATGAAAATAGTTTTAAACGTTTTTGTTTGTGTTATTGTTGGTAATATCATATGTAGCTTATGTTTATGCGGTAATTTTATTTGCGTTTTAGACAAGTACATTATGCCAGTCACGGTGTGTGAGAACCAAGTTCTATTTGATATTTGAATAATTTTAAAACATTTTATCACCCATATTCAACTCTTATACATCGATATAAAACTGTATTTTTCACAAATTACTTTAAGGAAAACTTAAGCTTTACAAACCTTCACAAGTGTTGCCTTCAAAACCAATAGCACATTCACACGAAAATGTATCTCCATTAATTGAACAGATACCGTTGTTTTTACAAGGACGAGAGTCACATGGTGTTGGTGGTAACTCTATGGACAGAAAGATTATAGGATTACTGTAAATGATATTTTTTCTTGATATTTAACGCATATAATTAAATATGATGGCACAAAGACTAACTATCAAATATGAATTTTAAATAACAATGACAAAGAGTTTTGTTAAAGTTGTTTGGTGACCAAAATTTACAAATATTTTTTTTAAAATCTGTGAGCATACCCAGTTTAATGTGACAACTACTATTTGTATTTTAAACCGCAGTAGTTTCGGAGATATCCACTTTAATGTGGTAAACCTATTTTATATTTCTTTTTTAGTTAGGGAGAACCACAATATAAAAAGCTGATATTTTGATGGCGGTAAGAAGCTAAAAGAAGGTAAAACCAAACAAAGAAAATCGACAACTTTCTCATTACATACAAAATATGTATGCCTAATAAAGTGCAAGGAGTGACGGGGGGAGCGTGCGGAGATTTTTCATTAAAACATATAGGTTAACCTGAAAACAGGCTTTTGACAAAAACCACGCCCGTAAGCAAATAAATAACGTTATCTAGTAGAAAATATTTAATTTAATCGCTTTCGCAATTCAGATATCTCATGTTTGCATTTTATATAAAACTTGAAGTAGTAACAATAAAAAGAATTGTTATTTGACTTGTGCAGTTCCTTAATTATAAGTGTAACATAACAAACCTTCACAAGTTTTGCCATGATATCCATTGATACAAATACAAGAGAAGGTATCTCCTTCCTCGAGACAACCACCATCATTTTTGCATGGGAACGATTCACAAGGACCTATAAACATATTTAGTATACTAAGCGTTTGTTAGAATAGGTTTGTGTTTGAAGAATTAAATAACGAAAGAGTTTATATATGTTAAACAAACTTTAAAATCTTCTTGTGTAGCTAAGAAGAGAATGTTTTACATCTAATTGTTAAAAGGTTTTTTGTTTGACAAAACTAATGTTCATAAGTTTTTAATATAAAATTCAATTGGCAACATTTTGCGGGTGACTAATCACCGCATTTCACTTGTCTTATTTCGACATCTTTCAAGCCTTAAAAACGCAATGTTATTCTCACTTTTGGAGGAGCAATTTCGGTCTTCCACACACGCCATAGCTCCCGTATTACACGTACTAAAGAAAAAACACAAAAAAACTATAGTGAAGATAAAAATTATTGGTATAATTATGCTTGAAGAAATACCGACCAGGTTTTACAACGTCCAACTTTGACACTTTCACCCGCCTTGTAATAATTTCCTTCAAAGAAACATGGGCATTCCTTCATAGGAACGCAATGATTCTTCTCGTCCAAGTAAGATCCTTTTGGACACTGGCATCCAGGAATGCATCTTTCAGTGCATTTTAAACCACGTGATATATCACGACATGTTTTTGCACAAGCAGATCCGCATTCTGTGAAAATTTCTCCTTTGTTACTGCATGTTTTTTCTACATAACAGATAATGAACTTTCAAGGATAAATTTATTTATGTACGAACAACTATTCTGTGTCAAAGTGTTAAAAAAAGCGAATGCTAGTTTACAAATTTATTTTTACCACATTCTTTGAGTTTTGGATATAAATAAGTTCCATTAAATCTCCAGTCAATAACACCACCATATTCAACACAAAGTTTACTGTAAGCAGCAAAAGCGTTACAAACACATTTCATTGGATCTGTGCAGCGACATGCGTCATATTTACAATTACTGATCAAGGCGGCTGGATCAACATAACGGTTGCACGCTTTGTGGAATGGAGATGAAGCATCGCTCATCAAGTGACATTTATCTATTACAGCTTTCTTCTGGGAAGCAATGATACATGGTTGAGATGATGACGCACATTTTCTGCTGTATTGATTGTCATCATCTCGACGACCATTGTTGTTGCCACATAGAGATGTGCTGCAAATCTTTCCCTTGTATTTTCCTGAAACGGTGACTTTGACGTATGTCCTACTGTTCCAACTCGTCGACATTCCGATGTCAGCAGTAAAAACCAGCCAACTCCCACTGGGATTGGTGATTTTAAATCCTTAAAAAAAACATAGTTATATACTAAAAGCAAAAAGATCTCTTTGTTCTACGAAAAATGAGGTGACAATAGGGGTTTACCTACTGTCATAATTTTTAAGCTCTTTAATAACTTTCCTTTTTATTATAAAGATTAATTTAAAAGATGTCAAGAAAAATAACCTAGAAACACATACCAGGACGAACTATTGGAAATTGTGAAAGCCTAACTCCGTTTACAACTGCGGAACGTCTTTGACGTGTGAACTGAATGAAGTAACCAGCTATATAGATCTTAACAGCCGCTGTACAAGTGACACGCCTCCCACAACGCGTATTTTTAGTGCGGACTGTAAAAAGTTTGTTTTCGCTGCAATCTTTAGCAAAGTCGTATTCACAATCTCCCATGAAGTTAAATCTTTTGCCATCAAATGAGGTGTAATGAGGATCCCCAGATGCAATGCATGTTGCTACAGAAATTATAAAGAATGCAACATGAAACAGGAACTATATTCAATATTTATACAATTAAATATTTTTGCATGGTGGAAAACGCTGAGTGCGATGTTAAAGTTTGCAATATGAAATGTTTCTTGACTTTCTATAATCGTTCAAAGGACAGATTTTTCTTTTTTTACCTTTTTTGAGGAAAGCGGAATTTTCATGAAAAACTGCAGAGTCTATGTTTGCTGCATTAACATGTTTAGAAAAGTCATTTAAATGACGGACTGATCATTATTTTTAAGTTGATATGTGACTTTTAAACGAAAATAATGTTCAATGTTTTCTGCAAGTTACATCACACACTCTTTGCCCTGCACTTGGTCTTCTCCATCATGCCAGTTAAGTATTATTAATAATGAACAACATGAAAGCATGCAGAACGAAGATTATTTAAGCATGTCTTGAGATTAAATTTTTTGAATTAAATTTTAACAAACAAAATTGAATTAGAAATCACTGGTTGTTTTGTAATTACGTAGCTGAGAATGAAATTTCTGGTGTTTATACTTACATTGTGAATATTCGCAGTTGTTTCCGCCAAAAGCAGGTTTGCATTTACATGTGTAGCTGTTACCCAAAATGTTGCATTGTCCACCATTTTACATGGATTTGGCTCACAAGGATTTGGAACTTCTAAAATAAAACCCAAAATACTATTTGTAAGATAATTTTTAAAACATAATTTTTTCTGTTAGAGTACGTAAATCCATTTGCTAGAGATATCGTTACATAAATTGACTTTTGTTGAAAAATACCAACTTTATAATATTTAGACGCGATATTGTATTTGTATAAAGGTGAAACCAGTCAAATGTACTAGTTTTTGGTAAGACATGATACTATAGTATAAAACTACAGGTTTATTATTTTAAGCCATATATGTGTGTTATTTACGTATTGCAGTCAAACGTTCCCTGATATAGAATGTTTTATTGAACAAAATTTCGGCTGTCTGTCTACATCCTTTGACGGAGGCTAACATGCAGAATGCTGTAAACAGAAAACCGAAAGCTTATTCAGCAAAAAGTTTCTTATCAGTGAATGTTTTACTGCATTATGTATAATCCTGATATGGGATCACGCATTATTTCTAGATACGTAGTGTTACAATGAATGTAAGATTTTCATTTACTTGTTTCACAGTGAATACCAATAAAGTCTGGAGGGCATGTACATTTGTATGAACTACCATCAACAACACACGAACCACCATTCTTACAAGGACTATGATCACAAACTCCAACTATATCAAAAATATATTTTAATTGTATGTAAACTTGATCTGCATACTGACAATAAATGGTATATCTTCATAATCTGTTCTAGCTGCTTTAAATAGAATGTTACTCTTGTATTACACTTTGCTAAAATGATTAAGAATGTTTTCTATAATAGTACCTAGTACTTCAAAAATTTTGATCATATTCATCAATAACCTGTGCAAAATGCTAATGAAAGCTGCTATAGAAAAGACACGTCTATTTGTGTCATTGATATAAAAAACTTAAATTATGAATAATGTCAAGTTTTAGGTAATCTGGCGTCATTTGAAGTCTGGCAGTATCAACTTTGCGAGATTTATTTTCTATAAAATTTCTGCATCTCTCCTGATTTAAATGCATGTTGATTGCAATTCAATTAAGAAAATGTATGAGTAGACTTACCCTCGCAATTCTTTCCAGTGAAACCATATTTACATTCACATTTATAAGAAGATCCAACAATTGTACAAACACCTTCATTCTTACAAGGTCCTTTTGCACATGCATTCGTAACTAAAATTAAAAATTATTAGTCACAATTTTTGTGATGAAAATAGTTTTAAACGTTTTTGCTTGTGTTATTATTGCTAATATCATATGTAGCTTATGTTTATGCGGTAATTTTATTTGCGTTTTAGACAGGTACATTATGCCAGTCACGGTGTGTGAGAACCAAGTTCTATTTGATATTTGAATGATTTTAAAACATTTTATCATCCATATTCAACTCTTATACATTGATATAAAACTGTATTTTTCACAAATTACTTTAAGGAAAACTTAAGCTTTACAAACCTTCACAAGTGTTGCCTTCAAAACCAACAGCACATTCACACGAAAATGTATCTCCATTAATTGAACAGATACCGTTGTTTTTACAAGGACGAGAGTCACATGGTGTTGGTGGTAACTCTATGGACAGAAAGATTATAGGATTACTGTAAATGATATTTTTTCTTGATATTTAACGCATATAATTAAATATGATGGCACAAAACTAACTATGAAATATAAATTTTAAATAACAATGACAAAGAGTTTTGTTAAAGTTGTTTGGTGACCAAAATTTACAAATATTTTTTTTAAAATCTGTGAGCATACCCAATTTAATGTGACAACTACTATTTGTATTTTAAACCGCAGTAGTTTCGGAGATATCCACTTTAATGTGGTAAACCTATTTTATATTTCTTTTTAGTTAGGAGAACCACAATATAAAAAGCTGATATTTTGATGGCGGTAAGAAGCTAAAAGAAGATAAAACCAAACAATGAAAATCGACAACTTTCTAATTACATACAAAATATGTATGCCTAATAAAGTGCAAGGACTGACGGGAGGTGCGGAGATTTTTCATTAAAACATATAGGTTAACCTTAAAACAGGCTTTTGACAAAAACCACGCCCGTAAGCAAATAAATAACGTTATCTAGTAGAAAATATTTAATTTAATCGCTTTCGCAATTCAGTTATCTCATGTTTGCATTTTATATAAAACTTGAAGTAGTAACAATAAAAAGAATTGTTATTTGACTTGTGCAGTTCCTTAATTATAAGTGTAACATAACAAACCTTCACAAGTTTTGCCATGATATCCATTGATACAAATACAAGAGAATGTATCTCCTTCCTCAAGACAACCACCATCATTTTTGCATGGGAACGATTCACAAGGACCTATAAACATATTTAGTATAGTAAGCGTTTGTTAGAATAAGTTTGTGTTTGAAGAATTAAATAACGAAAGAGTTTATATATGGTAAACAAACGTTAAAATCTTCTTGTGTAGCTAAAAGTGAATGTTCTACAGCTGATTGTTAAAAGGTTTTTGTTTGACAAAACTCAAGTTCATAAATTTTAATATAAAATTCAATTGGCAACATTTTGCTGGTGACTAATCACCGCATTTCACTTGTCTTATTTCGACATCTTTCAAGCCTTAAAAACGCAATGTTATTCTCACTTTTGGAGGAGCAATTTCGGTCTTCCACACAAGCCATAGCTCCCGTATTACACGTACTAAAGAAAAAACACAAAAAAACTATAGTGAAGATAAAAATTATTGGTATAATTATGCTTGAAGAAATACTGACCAGGTTTTACAACGTCCAACTTTCACACTTTCACCCGCCTTGTAATAATTTCCTTCAAAGAAACATGGGCATTCCTTCATAGGAACGCAATGATTCTTCTCGTCCAAGTAAGATCCTTTTGGACACTGGCATCCAGGAATGCATCTTTCACTGCATTTTAAACCACGTGATATATCACGACATGTTTTTGCACAAGCAGATCCGCATTCTGTGAAAATTTCTCCTTTGTTACTGCATGTTTTTTCTACATAACAGATAATGAACTTTCAAGGATAAATTTATTTATGAACGAACAACTATTCTGTGTCAAAGTGTTAAAAAAAGCGAATGCTAGTTTACAAATTTATTTTTACCACATTCTTTGAGTTTTGGATATAAATAAGTTCCATTAAATCTCCAGTCAATAACACCACCATATTCAACACAAAGTTTACTGTAAGCAGCAAAAGCGTTACAAACACATTTCATTGGATCTGTGCAGCGACATGCGTCATATTTACAATTACTGATCAAGGCGGCTGGATCAACATAACGGTTGCACGCTTTGTGGAATGGAGATGAAGCATCGCTCATCAAGTGACATTTATCTATTACAGCTTTCTTCTGGGAAGCAATGATACATGGTTGAGATGATGACGCACATTTTCTGCTGTATTGATTGTCATCATCTCGACGACCATTGTTGTTGCCACATAGAGATGTGCTGCAAATCTTTCCCTTGTATTTTCCTGAAACGGTGACTTTGACGTATGTCCTACTGTTCCAACTCGTCGACATTCCGATGTCAGCAGTAAAAACCAGCCAACTCCCACTGGGATTGGTGATTTTAAATCCTTAAAAAAACATAGTTATATACTAAAAGCAAAAAGATCTCTTTGTTCTACTAAAAATGAGGTGACAATAGGGGTTTACCTACTGTCATAATTTTTAAGCTCTTTAATAACTTTCCTTTATATTATAAAGATTAATGTAAAAGATGTCAAGAAAAATAACCTAGAAACACATACCAGGACGAACTATTGGAAATTGTGAAAGCCTAACTCCGTTTACAACTGCGGAACGTCTCTGACGTGTGAACTGAATGAAGTAACCAGCTATATAGATCTTAACAGCCGCTGTACAAGTGACACGCCTCCCACAACGTATTTTAGTGCGGACTGTAAAAGTTTGTTTTCGCTGCAATCTTTAGCAAAGTCGTATTCACAATCTCCCATGAAGTTAAATCTTTTGCCATCAAATGAGGTGTAATGCGGATCCCCAGATGCAATGCATGTTGCTACAGAAATTATAAAGAATGCAACATGAAACAGGAACTATATTCAATTTCTGTATAGTTAAATACTTTTGCATGGTGGAAAACGCTGAGTGCGATGTTAAAGTTTGCAATATGAAATGTTTCTTGACTTTCTATAATCGTTTAAAGGACAGATTTTTCATTTTTTGCCTTTTCAAGGAAAGCGGAATTTTCATGAAAAACTGCAGAGTCTATGTTTGCTGCAGCAACATGTTTAGAAAAGTCATTTAAATGACGGACTGATCATTATTTTTAAGTTGATATGTGACTTTTAAACGAAAATAATGTTCAATGTTTTCTGCAAGTTACATCACACACTCTTTGCCATGCACTTGGTCTTCTCCATCATGCCAGTTAAGTATTATTAATAATGAACAACATGAAAGCATGCAGAACGAAGATTATTTAAGCATGTCTTGAGATTAAATTTTTTGAATTAAATTTTAACAAACAAAATTGAATTAGAAATCACTGGTTGTTTTAGTAATTAGGTAGCTGGGAATGAAATTTCTGGTGTTTATACTTACATTGTGAATATTCGCAGTTGTTTCCGCCAAAAGCAGGTTTGCATTTACATGTGTAGCTGTTACCCAAAATGTTGCATTGTCCACCATTTTACATGGATTTGGCTCACAAGGATTTGGAACTTCTAAAATAAAACCCAAAATACTATTTGTAAGATAATTTTAAAACATAATTTTTTCTGTTAGAGTACGTAAATCCATTTGCTAGAGATATCGTTACATAAATTGACTTTTGTTGAAAAATACCAACTTTATAATATTTAGACGCGATATTGTATTTGTATAAAGGTGAAACCAGTCAAATGTACTAGTTTTTGGTAAGACATGATACTATAGTATAAAACTACAGGTTTATTATTTTAAGCCATATATGTGTGTTATTTACGTATTGCAGTCAAACGTTCCCTGATATAGAATGTTTTATTGAACAAAATTTCGGCTGTCTGTCTACATCCTTTGACGGAGGCTAACATGCAGAATGCTGTAAACAGAAAACCGAAAGCTTATTCAGCAAAAAGTTTCTTATCAGTGAATGTTTTACTGCATTATGTATAATCCTGATATGGGATCACGCATTATTTCTAGATACGTAGTGTTACAATGAATGTAAGATTTTCATTTACTTGTTTCACAGTGAATACCAATAAAGTCTGGAGGGCATGTACATTTGTATGAACTACCATCAACAACACACGAACCACCATTCTTACAAGGACTATGATCACAAACTCCAACTATATCAAAAATATATTTTAATTGTATGTAAACTTGATCTGCATACTGACAATAAATGGTATATCTTCATAATCTGTTCTAGCTGCTTTAAATAGAATGTTACTCTTGTATTACACTTTGCTAAAAATGATTAAGAATGTTTTCTATAATAGTACCTAGTACTTCAAAAATTTTGATCATATTCATCAATAACCTGTGCAAAATGCTAATGAAAGCTGCTATAGAAAAGACACGTCTATTTGTGTCATTGATATAAAAAACTTAAATTATGAATAATGTCAAGTTTTAGGTAATCTGGCGTCATTTGAAGTCTGGCAGTATCAACTTTGCGAGATTTATTTTCTATAAAAATTTCTGCATCTCTCCTGATTTAAATGCATGTTGATTGCAATTCAATTAAGAAAATGTATGAGTAGACTTACCCTCGCAATTCTTTCCAGTGAAACCATATTTACATTCACATTTATAAGAAGATCCAACAATTGTACAAACACCTTCATTCTTACAAGGTCCTTTTGCACATGCATTCGTAACTAAAATTAAAAAATTATTAGTCACAATTTTTTGTGATGAAAATAGTTTTAAACGTTTTTGCTTGTGTTATTATTGCTAATATCATATGTAGCTTATGTTTATGCGGTAATTTTATTTGCGTTTTAGACAGGTACATTATGCCAGTCACGGTGTGTGAGAACCAAGTTCTATTTGATATTTGAATGATTTTAAAACATTTTATCATCCATATTCAACTCTTATACATTGATATGAAACTGTATTTTTCACAAATTACTTTAAGGAAAACTTAAGCTTTACAAACCTTCACAAGTGTTGCCTTCAAAACCAACAGCACATTCACACGAAAATGTATCTCCATTAATTGAACAGATACCGTTGTTTTTACAAGGACGAGAGTCACATGGTGTTGGTGGTAACTCTATGGACAGAAAGATTATAGGATTACTGTAAATGATATTTTTTCTTGATATTTAACGCATATAATTAAATATGATGGCACAAAACTAACTATGAAATATAAATTTTAAATAACAATGACAAAGAGTTTTGTTAAAGTTGTTTGGTGACCAAAATTTACAAATATTTTTTAAAATCTGTGAGCATACCCAATTTAATGTGACAACTACTATTTGTATTTTAAACCGCAGTAGTTTCGGAGATATCCACTTTAATGTGGTAAACCTATTTTATATTTCTTTTTAGTTAGGAGAACCACAATATAAAAAGCTGATATTTTGATGGCGGTAAGAAGCTAAAAGAAGATAAAACCAAACAATGAAAATCGACAACTTTCTAATTACATACAAAATATGTATGCCTAATAAAGTGCAAGGACTGACGGGAGGAGCGTGCGGAGATTTTTCATTAAAACATATAGGTTAACCTTAAAACAGGCTTTTGACAAAAACCACGCCCGTAAGCAAATAAATAACGTTATCTAGTAGAAAATATTTAATTTAATCGCTTTCGCAATTCAGTTATCTCATGTTTGCATTTTATATAAAACTTGAAGTAGTAACAATAAAAGAATTGTTATTTGACTTGTGAAGTTGCTTAATTATAAGTGTAACATAACAAACCTTCACAAGTTTTGCCATGATACCCATTGATACAAATACAAGAGAATGTATCTCCTTCTTCAAGACAACCACCATCATTTTTGCATGGGAACGATTCACAAGGACCTATAAACATATATAGTATAGTAAGCGTTTGTTAGAATAAGTTTGTGTTTGAAGAATTAAATAACGAAAGAGTTTATATATGGTAAGCAAACGTTAAAATCTTCTTGTGTAGCTAAAAGTGAATGTTCTACAGCTGATTGTTAAAAGGTTTTTGTTTGACAAAATTCAAGTTCATAAATTTTTAATATAAAATTCAATTGGCAACATTTTGCTGGTGACTAATCACCGCATTTCACTTGTCTTATTTCGACATCTTTCAAGCCTTAAAACGCAATGTTATTCTCACTTTTGGAGGAGCAATTTCGGTCTTCCACACAAGCCATAGCTCCCGTATTACACGTACTAAAGAAAAAACACAAAAAAACTATAGTGAAGATAAAAATTATTGGTATAATTATGCTTGAAGAAATACTGACCAGGTTTTACAACGTCCAACTTTCACACTTTCACCCGCCTTGTAATAATTTCCTTCAAAGAAACATGGGCATTCCTTCATAGGAACGCAATGATTCTTCTCGTCCAAGTAAGATCCTTTTGGACACTGGCATCCAGGAATGCATCTTTCACTGCATTTTAAACCACGTGATATATCACGACATGTTTTTGCACAAGCAGATCCGCATTCTGTGAAAATTTCTCCTTTGTTACTGCATGTTTTTTCTACATAACAGATAATGAACTTTCAAGGATAAATTTATTTATGTACGAACAACTATTCTGTGTCAAAGTGTTAAAAAAAGCGAATGCTAGTTTACAAATTTATTCTAACCACATTCTTTGAGTTTTGGATATAAATAAGTTCCATTAAATCTCCAGTCAATAACACCACCATATTCAACACAAAGTTTACTGTAAGCAGCAAAAGCGTTACAAACACATTTCATTGGATCTGTGCAGCGACATGCGTCATATTTACAATTACTGATCAAGGCGGCTGGATCAACATAACGGTTGCACGCTTTGTGGAATGGAGATGAAGCATCGCTCATCAAGTGACATTTATCTATTACAGCTTTCTTCTGGGAAGCAATGATACATGGTTGAGATGATGACGCACATTTTCTGCTGTATTGATTGTCATCATCTCGACGACCATTGTTGTTGCCACATAGAGAGGTGCTGCAAATCTTTCCCTTGTATTTTCCTGAAACGGTGACTTTGACGTATGTCCTACTGTTCCAACTCGTCGACATTCCGATGTCAGCAGTAAAAACCAGCCAACTCCCACTGGGATTGGTGATTTTAAATCCTTAAAAAAACATAGTTATATACTAAAAGCAAAAGATCTCTTTGTTCTACTAAAATGAGGTGACAATAGGGTTTACCTACTGTCATAATTTTAAGCTCTTTAATAACTTTCCTTTATATTATAAAGATTAATGTAAAAGATGTCAAGAAAAATAACCTAGAAACACATACCAGGACGAACTATTGGAAATTGTGAAAGCCTAACTCCGTTTACAACTGCGGAACGTCTCTGACGTGTGAACTGAATGAAGTAACCAGCTATATAGATCTTAACAGCCGCTGTACAAGTGACACGCCTCCCACAACGTATTTTTAGTGCGGACTGTAAAAAGTTTGTTTTCGCTGCAATCTTTAGCAAAGTCGTATTCACAATCTCCCATGAAGTTAAATCTTTTGCCATCAAATGAGGTGTAATGAGGATCCCCAGATGCAATGCATGTTGCTACAGAAATTATAAAGAATGCAACATGAAACAGGAACTATATTCAATTTCTGTATAGTTAAATACTTTTGCATGGTGGAAAACGCTGAGTGCGATGTTAAAGTTTGCAATATGAAATGTTTCTTGACTTTCTATAATCGTTTAAAGGACAGATTTTTCATTTTTTTGCCTTTTCAAGGAAAGCGGAATTTTCATGAAAAACTGCAGAGTCTATGTTTGCTGCAGCAACATGTTTAGAAAAGTCATTTAAATGACGGACTGATCATTATTTTTAAGTTGATATGTGACTTTTAAACGAAAATAATGTTCAATGTTTTCTGCAAGTTACATCACACACTCTTTGCCATGCACTTGGTCTTCTCCATCATGCCAGTTAAGTATTATTAATAATGAACAACATGAAAGCATGCAGAACGAAGATTATTTAAGCATGTCTTGAGATTAAATTTTTTTGAATTAAATTTTAACAAACAAAATTGAATTAGAAATCACTGGTTGTTTTAGTAATTAGGTAGCTGGGAATGAAATTTCTGGTGTTTATACTTACATTGTGAATATTCGCAGTTGTTTCCGCCAAAAGCAGGTTTGCATTTACATGTGTAGCTGTTACCCAAAATGTTGCATTGTCCACCATTTTTACATGGATTTGGCTCACAAGGATTTGGAACTTCTAAAATAAAACCCAAAATACTATTTGTAAGATAATTTTAAAACATAATTTTTCTGTTAGAGTACGTAAATCCATTTGCTAGAGATATCGTTACATAAATTGACTTTTGTTGAAAAATACCAACTTTATAATATTTAGACGCGATATTGTATTTGTATAAAGGTGAAACCAGTCAAATGTACTAGTTTTTGGTAAGACATGATACTATAGTATAAAACTACAGGTTTATTATTTTAAGCCATATATGTGTGTTATTTACGTATTGCAGTCAAACGTTCCCTGATATAGAATGTTTTATTGAACAAAATTTCGGCTGTCTGTCTACATCCTTTGACGGAGGCTAACATGCAGAATGCTGTAAACAGAAAACCGAAAGCTTATTCAGCAAAAAGTTTCTTATCAGTGAATGTTTTACTGCATTATGTATAATCCTGATATGGGATCACGCATTATTTCTAGATACGTAGTGTTACAATGAATGTAAGATTTTCATTTACTTGTTTCACAGTGAATACCAATAAAGTCTGGAGGGCATGTACATTTGTATGAACTACCATCAACAACACACGAACCACCATTCTTACAAGGACTATGATCACAAACTCCAACTATATCAAAAATATATTTTAATTGTATGTAAACTTGATCTGCATACTGACAATAAATGGTATATCTTCATAATCTGTTCTAGCTGCTTTAAATAGAATGTTACTCTTGTATTACACTTTGCTAAAAATGATTAAGAATGTTTTCTATAATAGTACCTAGTACTTCAAAAATTTTGATCATATTCATCAATAACCTGTGCAAAATGCTAATGAAAGCTGCTATAGAAAAGACACGTCTATTTGTGTCATTGATATAAAAAACTTAAATTATGAATAATGTCAAGTTTTAGGTAATCTGGCGTCATTTGAAGTCTGGCAGTATCAACTTTGCGAGATTTATTTTCTATAAAATTTCTGCATCTCTCCTGATTTAAATGCATGTTGATTGCAATTCAATTAAGAAAATGTATGAGTAGACTTACCCTCGCAATTCTTTCCAGTGAAACCATATTTACATTCACATTTATAAGAAGATCCAACAATTGTACAAACACCTTCATTCTTACAAGGTCCTTTTGCACATGCATTCGTAACTAAAATTAAAAATTATTAGTCACAATTTTTGTGATGAAAATAGTTTTAAACGTTTTGCTTGTGTTATTATTGCTAATATCATATGTAGCTTATGTTTATGCGGTAATTTTATTTGCGTTTTAGACAGGTACATTATGCCAGTCACGGTGTGTGAGAACCAAGTTCTATTTGATATTTGAATGATTTTAAAACATTTTATCATCCATATTCAACTCTTATACATTGATATGAAACTGTATTTTCACAAATTACTTTAAGGAAAACTTAAGCTTTACAAACCTTCACAAGTGTTGCCTTCAAAACCAACAGCACATTCACACGAAAATGTATCTCCATTAATTGAACAGATACCGTTGTTTTTACAAGGACGAGAGTCACATGGTGTTGGTGGTAACTCTATGGACAGAAAGATTATAGGATTACTGTAAATGATATTTTTCTTGATATTTAACGCATATAATTAAATATGATGGCACAAAACTAACTATGAAATATAAATTTTAAATAACAATGACAAAGAGTTTTGTTAAAGTTGTTTGGTGACCAAAATTTACAAATATTTTTTAAAATCTGTGAGCATACCCAATTTAATGTGACAACTACTATTTGTATTTTAAACCGCAGTAGTTTCGGAGATATCCACTTTAATGTGGTAAACCTATTTTATATTTCTTTTTAGTTAGGAGAACCACAATATAAAAAGCTGATATTTTGATGGCGGTAAGAAGCTAAAAGAAGATAAAACCAAACAATGAAAATCGACAACTTTCTAATTACATACAAAATATGTATGCCTAATAAAGTGCAAGGACTGACGGGAGGAGCGTGCGGAGATTTTTCATTAAAACATATAGGTTAACCTTAAAACAGGCTTTTGACAAAAACCACGCCCGTAAGCAAATAAATAACGTTATCTAGTAGAAAATATTTAATTTAATCGCTTTCGCAATTCAGTTATCTCATGTTTGCATTTTATATAAAACTTGAAGTAGTAACAATAAAAGAATTGTTATTTGACTTGTGAAGTTGCTTAATTATAAGTGTAACATAACAAACCTTCACAAGTTTTGCCATGATACCCATTGATACAAATACAAGAGAATGTATCTCCTTCTTCAAGACAACCACCATCATTTTTGCATGGGAACGATTCACAAGGACCTATAAACATATATAGTATAGTAAGCGTTTGTTAGAATAAGTTTGTGTTTGAAGAATTAAATAACGAAAGAGTTTATATATGGTAAGCAAACGTTAAAATCTTCTTGTGTAGCTAAAAGTGAATGTTCTACAGCTGATTGTTAAAAGGTTTTTGTTTGACAAAATTCAAGTTCATAAATTTTTAATATAAAATTCAATTGGCAACATTTTGCTGGTGACTAATCACCGCATTTCACTTGTCTTATTTCGACATCTTTCAAGCCTTAAAACGCAATGTTATTCTCACTTTTGAGGAGCAATTTCGGTCTTCCACACAAGCCATAGCTCCCGTATTACACGTACTAAAGAAAAACACAAAAACTATAGTGAAGATAAAATTATTGGTATAATTATGCTTGAAGAAATACTGACCAGGTTTTACAACGTCCAACTTTCACACTTTCACCCGCCTTGTAATAATTTCCTTCAAAGAAACATGGGCATTCCTTCATAGGAACGCAATGATTCTTCTCGTCCAAGTAAGATCCTTTTGGACACTGGCATCCAGGAATGCATCTTTCACTGCATTTTAAACCACGTGATATATCACGACATGTTTTGCACAAGCAGATCCGCATTCTGTGAAAATTTCTCCTTTGTTACTGCATGTTTTTTCTACATAACAGATAATGAACTTTCAAGGATAAATTTATTTATGTACGAACAACTATTCTGTGTCAAAGTGTTAAAAAAAGCGAATGCTAGTTTACAAATTTATTCTAACCACATTCTTTGAGTTTTGGATATAAATAAGTTCCATTAAATCTCCAGTCAATAACACCACCATATTCAACACAAAGTTTACTGTAAGCAGCAAAAGCGTTACAAACACATTTCATTGGATCTGTGCAGCGACATGCGTCATATTTACAATTACTGATCAAGGCGGCTGGATCAACATAACGGTTGCACGCTTTGTGGAATGGAGATGAAGCATCGCTCATCAAGTGACATTTATCTATTACAGCTTTCTTCTGGGAAGCAATGATACATGGTTGAGATGATGACGCACATTTTCTGCTGTATTGATTGTCATCATCTCGACGACCATTGTTGTTGCCACATAGAGAGGTGCTGCAAATCTTTCCCTTGTATTTTCCTGAAACGGTGACTTTGACGTATGTCCTACTGTTCCAACTCGTCGACATTCCGATGTCAGCAGTAAAAACCAGCCAACTCCCACTGGGATTGGTGATTTTAAATCCTTAAAAAAACATAGTTATATACTAAAAGCAAAAAGATCTCTTTGTTCTACTAAAAATGAGGTGACAATAGGGGTTTACCTACTGTCATAATTTTTAAGCTCTTTAATAACTTTCCTTTATATTATAAAGATTAATGTAAAAGATGTCAAGAAAAATAACCTAGAAACACATACCAGGACGAACTATTGGAAATTGTGAAAGCCTAACTCCGTTTACAACTGCGGAACGTCTCTGACGTGTGAACTGAATGAAGTAACCAGCTATATAGATCTTAACAGCCGCTGTACAAGTGACACGCCTCCCACAACGTGTATTTTTAGTGCGGACTGTAAAAAGTTTGTTTTCGCTGCAATCTTTAGCAAAGTCGTATTCACAATCTCCCATGAAGTTAAATCTTTTGCCATCAAATGAGGTGTAATGCGGATCCCCAGATGCAATGCATGTTGCTACAGAAATTATAAAGAATGCAACATGAAACAGGAACTATATTCAATTTCTGTATAGTTAAATACTTTTGCATGGTGGAAAACGCTGAGTGCGATGTTAAAGTTTGCAATATGAAATGTTTCTTGACTTTCTATAATCGTTTAAAGGACAGATTTTTCATTTTTTGCCTTTTCAAGGAAAGCGGAATTTTCATGAAAACTGCAGAGTCTATGTTTGCTGCAGCAACATGTTTAGAAAAGTCATTTAAATGACGGACTGATCATTATTTTAAGTTGATATGTGACTTTTAAACGAAAATAATGTTCAATGTTTTCTGCAAGTTACATCACACACTCTTTGCCATGCACTTGGTCTTCTCATGCCAGTTAAGTATTATTAATAATGAACAACATGAAAGCATGCAGAACGAAGATTATTTAAGCATGTCTTGAGATTAAATTTTTTGAATTAAATTTTAACAAACAAAATTGAATTAGAAATCACTGGTTGTTTTAGTAATTAGGTAGCTGGGAATGAAATTTCTGGTGTTTATACTTACATTGTGAATATTCGCAGTTGTTTCCGCCAAAAGCAGGTTTGCATTTACATGTGTAGCTGTTACCCAAAATGTTGCATTGTCCACCATTTTTACATGGATTTGGCTCACAAGGATTTGGAACTTCTAAATAAAACCCAAAATACTATTTGTAAGATAATTTTTAAAACATAATTTTTTCTGTTAGAGTACGTAAATCTATTTGCTAAAGATGCAGTTCCAAAATTGACTTTTGTTGAAAAATACCAACTTCATAATATTTAGACCCGATATTGTATTTGTATAAAGGTGAAACCAGTCAAATGTTCTAGTTTTTGCTAAAACATGATACTATAGTATGAAACTACATGTTTATTATTTTAAGCCATATATTTGTGTTAGTTACGTAGTGAAGTCAAAAGGTTCACTGATATAAAATTTTTATTGAACAAGCTTTCGTCTATCTGTCTAGAGCCTTCGACGGAGGCTAACATGTCGAAGGCTGTAGACAGACACACGAAAGCTTGTTCAATAAAAATGTTTACATCAGTGAACGTTTTACTGCATTATGTATAACCCTGATATCGGATCACGCATTTTTTCTAGTTACGTAGTGTTACTGTAAGATTTCCATTTACTTGTTTCACAATGAATACCAATAAAGTCTGGAGGGCATGTACATTTGTATGAACTACCATCAACAACACACGAACCACCATTCTTACAAGGACTATGATCACAAACTCCAACTATATAAAAACATATTTTAGAAAAAAACCGTCAGACAAATTTTGAGCTTTATGTAAAATGCAAAGGAGCGCAGCACACTAATTCGGTAACAATGTTTATGAAAGAATGTTATATGCAGTGCGGTGTTTGAAATTAAGCGGGATTCCGTTGAGTCACCTAAATTTTTCAGGTTCATGAGACAATTGCTTAAATTGTCCAGCAAAGTGCGGAGATCATATCTTCATTTAACAATGATTATGTTAAAATTAAAAACTTTATTTTTTGTAATTTTAATTGACAGCAATATATTGAAAAAAAACACCAAATATCGTGATTTATCTTAAAAAAAAGGCATGCAAGTATTCGAAAACGTTTATATTCAAATCACGCAAAATGTGTTAATAAACCAAAAACAAGAAAATTATGATTTTCAATTGTTGCATAAGTCATTGAACATGAAAATAATAAATTGATTTTCAATAATTGTGAATTTTAAGTGTGTGGCTATGTAAAAAGGACTTGTTCAAAAAATTAGGCTTAGATGAAACGACAGTTCATTTTATTAAATATTTCTTTTTTTATTTATTTTTCATCGTACTGAACTTTTGAAGCCAATAACATTTGATTTTCTAAAACATATGTGTTGTTTCTTAAGTGTAAAGTTCCTTATACAACAGAATTTTTTATGCTTAATCATAAAACTCTTGAATAGCTATTCGTATATTTGCAGTTTTTTGATATATTTTCGTTCTAAAATATGATAAGTAGCTATAAACGCGAAAGGACTTTGTCTTAACCAGCTAAGTTGGTCAGAGCACTGCACAGGCACCGCAGAGGTCATGGGTTCGAATCCCGTTGAGTCACCTGAATTTTTCAGGTTTATGAGACAATTGCTTAAATTGTCCAGCAAAGTGCGAAGATCATATCTACATTTAATTTCAAACACCGCACTGCATAAAACATTCCTTCATATGACAATCCTTTCACGAGAAAACATGAGCCCAACAAAATTGACCTGCTCACCACTGTGTGACTTCATAGGTCAGTTGGTCAGAGCACTGCACCGGCACCGCAGAGGTCATGGGTTCGAATCCCGTTGAGTCACCTGAATTTCTCAGGTTCATGAGACAATTGCTTAAATTGTCTAGCTATTTATACATTACAATAATCTTTTTAACATAACCTAAAACATTTTAAAGCATTAATATATAGGCAATATCGAACAAAATACAAAATTACGGAACACCTTAGATTTAATCATTGTATCATGGCAATTTATGATGTTTGACTTAACATTAAATTATTTTTCTTAAAAATTAGCTATTTTACAAAACTCATCAATGAACAAACCTTCACATGTTTTGCCTTTAAAACCAGAAGCACATTCACACGTGAATTTATCTCCATTGTTTGTGCAAATACCGTCGTTTTTACATGGACGCGAGTCGCAAGGTGTTGGTGTTAACTCTGTATGTGTAAAGAAAGACCATACGATTAGTCTAAATTATACTTTCCGTTTACATTTACGAACTGAATACGCAGAATGGGGAAAATTTGAAGTATGTATTAACCAAAAACTCTGAATATATATTCAAGCAATTCCAGCAACAGTTTAACTGGAAATTAAATCAAATTATATAACTATTATCGGGAACGTCATTAAGAAAATACCTTAGCCGCTGTACAACCCCCACCCTCTTGAGATAAAAAAATCTATGAGTACCTATCAGTAGCAGAAGCACTCTCCTCTCTAATCCTTAATAACACTGTCCCCAACGATTCAAAGCCCTGACACTACTTGACATTTTTCCGACACATAAATGTAGAGAACATGCTATAAAACTGTATTTGTTAATTAAGCATCCCTCCACTATATTTATTTCCTCTAAAATAAATGGAGGAGAGACAGCCCTACACTATATTTATTTCCTCTAAAATTACATATCCCGAAACATCGGAAATTTTAAAAGGAAAACTAAATTAATATAATTTTTTTCAGTGGGTTAATTGATCATAACTATTTCTCTTATTAAAACACATAAATGTTTAGTAATACTATAGGTTTATATTTCTAACTATCAAATAAATAAAATCGCATATGATTTGGTGCAATTGAAAGCTTTATCATTTCTTTTTTTAAGTTGAGATACTAATGATCCATGTATGTATTATATAATAACCAGAAGAATTTGAGCAATTTCATTGGTCGAGAGCTATGATCTATAAGAGGACAGACGCCCGGAATTGACGTCACAGAAAATTTCGTGTTAATTAAAACATACAAATTGCAGATATATTTGAAAATTTATCGCAATACCTCCCTGAGTGGAAAATAAAGATATTCACAAAGACCTAGTTCAGGCAGTTGACGTATTGGAGCAAAACAAAGAAAACCCAGTTTTCAAACATTAATTTTACATCGTCGATAACAAAATTTCAAAACACTGATCAGCCATTGCTTATTTATTTTGTTAGTCATTCACATTTTAACTTATAGTATTTCTTTAACCTTATAGATCAAGTAAGCGCAATATTTGGATAATCCAGACATTTCAATGTTCCAAGTGTTGGGGGACAAAGAAAACAAACTGTTTGACGGTTTAATTTGGGAATTCCTTTGATTTTATTATGTAAAAGAAATAGATAACATTTACCGTTGTCTATACAGTTATAGTTACACGAGTAAGACGTCCTTTGTAATAAAAGCTACAAAAGTGGCCACGAGCCACCGGGGCGAGACAGTGGTTAAATGTTATCTATTTGTTAATTATCTATCATATGCCAATGTAAAATGTAGCTACATTAGAGTAAAAAACCGTGTGTTGCAAGTTGTCTCGTCAAATTTTAGTGCAAAAGTATGATGTGACAAACCTTCACAAGTTTTGCCTTGAAATCCCTTTTTACATTTACAAGAGAATGTATTTCCTTTCTCAGAACAAACACCATCATTTTTGCATGGAAAAGACTCACAAGGACCTATAAAAATATTTAATTTGCTCGCACAACGTTTCTAACAGAGCATTCATTGACATGCAAATAAATAAAAAACAAAATATTTATGTGTAATGAATGAATGTTCTTACGGCTAATCATGAAAAAAATTTTGTTTCCAAAACATTCACATTTTCTTCAACTTTAACGTAAAATTTATTTTTTTTTAGCAAATGTACTCATAGCTTAGTACTTTACATGTTGTAGCTAGACATGTAAAAAAGTCATTGTTATTATTACCTTTGGAGGAGCATTTTCGGTCTTCCACACACGCCATAGCTCCCATATTACACGTACTGAAGAAAAGACATAAAACAAAAAAACGAAACTATAGTGAAGATAAAAATTATTGATATAATTATGCTTAAAGAAATACCGACCAGGTTTTACAACGTCCAACTTTCACACTTTCACCCGCCTTGTAATAAATTCCTTCAAAGAAACATGGGCATTTCTTCATAGGAACACAATGATTCTTGTCGTCCAAGTAAGATCCTTTTGGACACTGGCATCCAGGAATGCATCTTTCACTGCATTTTAAACCACGTGATATATCACGACATGTTTTTGCACAAGCAGATCCGCATTCTGTGAAAATTTCTCCTTTGTTACTGCATGTTTTTTCTACATAAAAATAATGAATTTTTAGTGAATATTTTATGAATGCATAAACAAATCATTTCGAGAAACACTTTTTCTCGTTAAATTCTCACCACATTCTTTGAGTTTTGGATATAAATAAGTTCCTTTGAATCTCCAGTCAATTACACCGCCATATTCAACACAAAGTTTACTGTAAGCAGCAAAAGCGTTACAAACACATTTCATTGGATCTGTGCAGCGACATGCGTCATATTTACAGTTACTGATCAAGGCGGCTGGATCAACATAACGGTTGCATGCTTTGTGGAATGGAGATGAAGTATCGGACATCAAGTGGCATTTATCTATTACAGCTTTCTTTTTGGTGTCAGGGAAACATGTTTGAGGTGGCAGGGAACATTTTGTACTGTATTGATTGTCATCATCTCGACGACCATTGTTGTTGCCACATAGAGATGTGCTGCAAATTTTTCCCTTGTATTTTCCTGAAACGGTGACTTTGACGTATGTCCTACTGTTCCAACTCGTCGACATTCCGATATTAGAAGTAAAAACCAGCCAACTTCCACTGGGATTGGTGATTTTAAATCCTTAAAAAACATAGTTATATACTAAAAGCAAAAAGATCTCTTTGTTTTACTGATCTCTAAAAAATGAAATGTCAAGAAAAAATAACCTAGAAACACATACCGGGACGAACTATTGGAAATTGTGAAAGCCTAACTCCGTTTACAACTGCGGAACGTCTCTGACGTGTGAACTGAATGAAGTAACCAGCTATATAGATCTTAACAGCCGCTGTACAAGTGACAAACCTCCCACATCGCGTATTTTTAGTGCGGACTGTAAAAAGTTTGTTTTCGCTGCAATCTTTAGCAAAGTCGTATTCACAATCTCCCATGAAGTTAAATCTTTTGCCATCAAATGAGGTGTAATGAGGATCCAGATGCAACGCATGTTGCTACAGAAATTATAAGAAATGCAACATGAAACAGGAACTATATTCAATTTCTGTATAGTTAAATATTTTTGCATGGTGGAAAACGCTGAGTGCGATGTTAAAGTTTGCAATATGAAATGTTTCTTGACTTTCTATAATCGTTTAAGGGACAGATTTTTCTTTTTTTACCTTTTCGAGGAAAGCGAAATTTTCATGAAAAACCGCAGAGTCTATGTTTGCTGCAGAACCATATTTAGAAAGGTCATTTAAATGACGGACTGATCATTATTTTTAAGTTGATATGTGACTTTTAAACGAAAATAATGTTCAATGTTTTCTGCAAGTTATATTACACACTCTTTGCCCTGCACTTCGTCTTCTCCATCATGCCAGTTACGTACTATTAATAATGAACAACATGAAAGCATGCAGACCAAAGTTTATTTAACAATGTCTTGAGATTAAATTTTTTGAATTAAATTTTAACAAACAAAATTGAATTAGAAATCACTAGTTGTTTTTGTAATTACGTAGCTGAGAATGAAATTTCTGGTGTTTATACTTACATTGTGAATATTCGCAGTTGTTTCCGCCAAAAGCAGGTTTGCATTTACATGTGTAGCTGTTGCCCAAAATGTTGCATTGTCCACCATTTTTACATGGATTTGGCTCACAAGGATTTGGAATCTCTATAAAATAAGCCCAAAAATTAATTTGGATTTTGGAATTAATATTATCAACTGAGAAAATGATTAAAACAATCGGTCGTGTTAGGAAACTTTGAATTTCTTTTTTACAAAATACAAAGATTTAAAAGTTATTTTCTAAACAAAAGTTTTATTAATTACTTGTTTCACAGTGAACACCAATGAAGTCTGGAAGGCATGTACACTTGTATGAACTACCAACAACAATACACGAACCACCATTTTGGCAAGGAGAATGATCACAAACTCCAACTAGAAAATGAAAATAAATATTTATGGCCTAAAAATTCTCAAAAGATTTTTAGCACATAAATAAAGGTATAAAGCATAATTAAGTTGGATTTCCAGTACGACTGCATGCAGTTATTGTTGCTGATTCCCAAAAAATCTTTGTAACTAAAAAGGAATGCATTTATAAACAAATACAAAAAAATGAGCAGCCAAATTTTTGTTTAAAATTTTTCTTGTAGTTTTGCAACAGTATTTATTAATTTCTCGAAAAACGTTTATTTACCCTCAGCATACACTAGCTCTTTCAAAGATGTGGTAATTGTAGCGTGTTTGGAAATGTTGTTCACGTAATGTCAAATCAAGAAGTCTTTTATAGGCAAATTTTCTACATGTTATGACAACTTTCACAAAGAACGGAAAAGGAACAACTCGAATTTCTTTGTAAAACTAAATGCTTTTTTTCCTAGTTTATTTTCACATGTTTCAACAAGCTTAAGTTTTATCACACCTAATACTATGATGTCGCTTGTAGTGAAAGTAAAGTCTCTTAAGTGAATTGTTGCTGAATAAAAGAAGCAGAAAAAAATGTTCAATGTTTTAAGCATTAATGGTTTCAATTGATTTGTTCATAGTTTAGCATTCAAGCAGTTCAGCATAAAGTGAGAACATGCAGGAAACGACTTTGGTCACTGAGTGAGATTTCAATTTTTCATCCCTTTATCGTGGGTTGTGCACAATACGCACTAATCGCATTAGAAACCAAAGCCAACTAAATTGAGAAAACAGCTAGCGCGAGAAAGGGTTTAAACTTAGATTTTTTATTATGATCGTTCATACGAAAGAATGTTTTTTGCAGCGCGGTGTTTGTAATTAAATGTAGATATGATCTTCGCACTTTGTTAAACAATTTAAGACCCATGACCTCTGCGGTGCCGGTGCAGTGCTCTGACCAAAAGTGCGACAAAGTGCGAAGATCATATCTACACAGTGCGAAGATCATATCATTGTCCAAGAAAGTGCGAAGATCATATCTACAAGGTGCGAAGATCATATCTACATTTAATGATCGTGCATACGTTAATAATGACAGGCAGCCTTCCTATTTATTTATTGATCTTCATGTGTCCATGTTTTACATAGTTTAGGAGACATGCTTGTTCCAAAAAACGTAAAAAAGTAAGTGGAAGGAAAAGTTTACACTTACCTTCACAGTTCGTTCCAGTAAAACCAGATTTACATTTACATTTGTAAGATGATCCAACATTTTTACAATCACCACCATTTTTACACGGTTTCGAAGAACAAGCTTTTACCCCTGAACGAAAAAGTTTGAAATATAAAATATACAAGTCTAAACTTCTAAGTTCACGTCTTTCATACGTACATAATAAATGTTTCATTTAATCATAAACGTTTCCATTAGAAAAAATTTACCAAAAAATGTTACATACCTGCAAACATTTTGCAACATTTTAAGTAGTCAATATTGTGTAGCCAGTTCCCATGAAGATCTCGATAAAACCCAGTGACGTAGTAACCACGTTTTCTACACGTTGTCCACCCTTTCCTGTTAAACCTGCGTATGATGTTTTCATTGTAACAATGACCATACCTGTCTGGATGATTGACTGGTTTGCAACATTTTCCTTCCTCAATATTGTGTAATCTTTGGCCTTTGGTACGATAGAGACCATTTAGAAAATACCCATTGGGACAAACACTCCAAGTCCCAGGTCTAAAATATAAAATTTGACAAATAACTAATTTGCAATTTATGAGTTCTTTTCCTTCAAATAGTCTATAAAAGTTTTATTTAGTTGAAATCAAAAGGTCTGAACAAATTCTAATTAGAAATATAGTTCTGTTTCAAAGAATATTACAAACCTTGCTGGCTAAAAATTACTTAAATTACACAAACAAATAATTTTCAATATTTTTCAGATAAGTAGTGTTTTTACAAAACCCAATTTTTTGCTTTGCAACTCTTCATGACTTACTTGGCCCAGTTGAAATGGCTAATATATTGATTTAATGCAGAAGATACTCACTTATCAAAAGTGTCCCACCAGTTGGCATTTTGACATTTGCTACTCTGTCCTCTATACGTTTTACTTGACAAGCAGCACTTAGCTTCTTCAAGTCTGTAAATGCCATCCTTTCCAAACCATTTAACCCTTCCAAACCTTCTGAACTTTCTACGCCTGTTGCGCCAAAAACCAGTTATAAATTTGTTGTTGGAATCACAAGTTGACCAGCCTTCTTTGTTAAAAGATTTCCACCAGTTAGCATTCTGGCAAGTCTGAGGTTTTCTTAATACTAAAATAGATAAACAAAGATACATACTAACTCAAAATTTAAAGCAATGTATGTCAAAGAAAAGTGCCATAGAAAAATTTATGTCGCTTGGTTATGATAATTTACTCATATCTCCTTATTGCTAGAGTTATAGGGTTCTACTTTGTGTAATGAATGATATTCGCCCTCCTTCATCACCATGGAAACAACAAAAAGATTGAATAACAAATGAGCAATTAAGTTTCTTGAAAGATGACTGCATATGTTTATTTTAGTCAGAGGAAATTGGGTCCTATCAAATATCATATCATGTCATTGTATCTATATTTTAAAAAAACATACACATGGTGTAAATGTTACCTGTAGCCAAAGTATTTAACCAGCAATCTCATATTGTTGAGAAGGATGGTAAAAAGGATGGTAAAATACGGAGATATATATGTATTAAGATCCAACTATTTTTAAAGTCTAAAGTGCTACAATAAGCCATATGATATTGCTAAACTAAGTGCCTTTAGAAGGTTCTGGTTTTGCAGAGAACAAACAATTATAAACTAGCGATTCTTAGTATTGTGCCAAACTGAAAAGATAAATAAAAAATTTAATTATCTCACAATCAAAGTGTTGTATCAAAGAACAATGACTTCTATGTTTAACATTTAAGTAATGTAAATAATGTACATATATTCGGCTAATATTCTTCCCAGCTGGTGAGTAATGAGTAAACACTAAACAACTTTCATAAGTTAAGCAACTAAAAATTTTGTTAATGTTTATTATGGTTTAGTGTAGCATGGGGTGAACTTTTATTATTCCTAATCCTTAAAAAACAGCTGTATTAAAATCTATTGATAATACCTCCATGTGTACATCAGTTAACAGCGAGTCCTTTCTTTTTAGGAATAAAACTATACGAATGGTGGCCAGCATTAGCCTGAATTTTATTAATTAAAAGTTAATGAACGCACATGTTCATTGATACATGTCATCTTACAAAATCACAAATTTGCAACATATTATTTGCATCCGTTTAAGCCAAACAAGGATGTGTTTGTCATGTTTGTAGTCTGTATTTTCAGTGACGGTGGCATCGACAGTTTCAAATGAAGTTGACCGAGGATTTTCCTCAGAGTCTCAATGATTATAGTAAATGTACATAAAAATTTATAATATCATAAAAAATGTTCAGTCCAAATGTTGATTTCATTGTGCTTTTCATACCTTAATAATTGATGATTAATCCGATGCAAAGGTTTTATTCCAAAGCATATTCTTAAAGCAATTAGCAAACAATCATCCGCTGGCAATTACATGATATGTAGTAACATTGTGTGTTCCAAATTGAGCTTAATTTGAACTTCAATTTCTGCTCCCATACTTGACAAATAGGCCATAGCTCATTTTTCTAAAATTTGCTATAGCAGCTAAACAAACGACTGAAAACACCAATTTAAAATCGCGCCATAAAACTCGATTATATCTATAACACGGATGTTTGCTATACACTGCACAAACATCGCGATTTCAGGCGGGCTTCTGAGTAATTTACGAAGGTGATACAAAATCTCGAGCGCGTATAGATCTTTCTAGATAGCATAGTGGTATGCCGCTGACTGCGCCTTACCATGAAAACTAGAAGTTGCTAAGCACAGTAGAACACCCTTCGGCCCACCACTTGGTGTAGAACATATCTAGATGGTTTCGCATACATTGCAAATTAGCTTGGATAAAGTACTTCAAGACAAGTACTTCACATGCATGCCTGCTTTAATTTTAACATTTTTTGGTAAGGTGTATTTCAATTTGTAGCTATCAATATTTGTCAAAATTTACCATAATACAAAAGGTTTAACGGTTCGCCCTTTTTACAGCTTTCTTTTTTACACCGTGCAACATGCAGTGCTCTGTTGACTTTTTTTGGGGTAGTGCTCTTTTCCTTGGAAGAAACGAAGACAAGCGTACGGAAAGCTGACTTTCAACTTCCGGCATTAATAGCTCCCTTGCTTTTTTTTATCTAATTTCATTTCACAAATTGGAAAAATCCATTAATTACCATTGCGAATAAAAACAATTTCTTGAGAGGGAAACCACAACCGAAACAGAATGTTGATTGTCGACTACGTTCAGTTGTCGACAACGAACAGTTTCGTCAAAAATGAGAATTTATTTTTCATGCAATGTTAGTTTTATTTGTTACAAAAGATACAAGTTTGTTATCCTCGTCATATTTGTTTTTAAACAAGCAGGTACTTTTAGCAATTTTTGCATAAAAATTCAACAATTAGAGAAAAATATTTGATTTGCTTACATGCTTGTATAATAAAGTCCGTAACAAACCGGCAACTAATAATTTTTAAACTTATGTTAATAAACTTACTGCATAAACTTGGAGTCCTTCCGATTTAAAACGCGGATGCACAAAAATATAATTAAATTTCATCAATAAAACAAGGAGAATATACCAACATTGATTATTAAATCCCAATTAATTCATTTTTCCAAAAACTGATAAAAGGGAAATAATAATAAGGAGAAGAAATATTCTTTTAGTTTAGTGGTTATTTTATATGTTTTTAATACTAATATTTTAGTATGCTATATATATTGGTGTGTAACATTTAGTTAAAATTAGAAAGACGCATCTATTTTTTCATTGTTAAATATGAAATTTCTAACAAAAACATTCGAAAAAAAATTGTATAAAAGAGAAGATATAGCAATATGTTTACCTTGACAATTTCGACCGCTGAAACCAGATTTACATTTACATTTGTAAGATGATCCAACATTTTTACAATCACCACCATTTTTACACGGTCTCGAGGAACAAGCTTTTACCCCTAAATGAAACATTTAAAAATATAAAATATACAAATCTAAACTTCTATGTTTACGTTGTCTTGACGTACATATTAAATGTTTCACGAATTTTTTTTAAATGAAATACCAAAAAAAAGGAAAGATTTTACTATTGCAAGACGAATGCCTTTTTGAAAAATCATAAACATTTCCAATAGCAAATGTTTATGATTTTTCATGGTAACAATCACTTGAATATTCCTTTGAAGAGCACTCAAGAGCACATGATAATTGTCAATAACATGCTATTCAAAGGAAGGATCATCAAGATAAAGCAGACATTCAATAAACATGTATACACTTTGCACGAAAGAAATTTTTCACAAAGAGAAATATAGTTTGTATAGTTTGTTGCTGATACACTTTTGCAACTGCAAGAACGCCATATCCATTGGCTTTGCCTTAATGACCTTTTTATTTAGTGCAAGGTAATGCTACTCGAATATTCCCGATTTTCATATGGCGTCAGTAATTGTTATGAATGTGGACAATTATATTAAGTGCTCTCGAATGTTTCTTTGTGTTGTCTACAGCGCTATTGATGAGTTGAAACGTGTCCAAAGTGCTCTTACGATGCGCATTAAATGGGTGCACTAAAGCTTAGGAAATAGTAATTGGTACGTAAAGTAAGGATAAAATTAGAAAGTTAGAAATTTTAGAATAGTGATAACATTTTGGACTTCTTTGTTGAAGTCGGGTTTGTGCTTGTTTATGTAAATAGGGTTTTGACCTTTGAATTTTCGGGGTGAATGGATAGTTGCCAATATGAAATAAGATGAAGTGTATTTAGATTTGCATTCAAGATTTTGTAGATGTTTGTGAATGTGTGAGTTTTTGTCGGTGAAAGTGTGCTCTTTTATTCTTCTGGCTAACTGTCGGGTGTTTTAACCTTTATAATATGATGAGGTTCATGCTTCGTAAACAAATTTGTATTACACTATTTGCTCATTATTAAAATACATTGAAGATTCAATTGCACGCTTTAACTTATTAATAGCGCTGTAGAATATTCATCAACTGGAAAGAGCAATCCAGAGCACTCGTCCACAATCAATAATATATTATTTATGGCGCATGACATTCGAGAATAATTAAATAGTATTAACGAGAATAATTTAATAGTATTTTGTCGGTGAAAGCGTGTGCTCTTTTATTCTTCTGGCTAAGTGTCGGGTGTTTTAACCTTTATAATATGATGAGGTTCATGCTTCGTAAACAAATTTGTATTACACTATTTGCTCATTATTAAAACACATTGAAGATTCAAATGCACGCTTTAGCTTATTAATAGCGCTGTAGAATATTCATCAACTGGAAAGAACAATCCAGAGCACTAGTCGACAATCAATAATATATTTATTTATGGCGCATAACATTCGAGAATAATTAAATAGTATTAACGTGCATCCGACATAATCAAAGCAGACATTCAAATAAACTTAGACATACTTTGTATGACAGAGAAGTGTGGTTTTAAAGTCTTTCGTACAACGTATATACATACCTTCCATTATTAATTTCAATGGTAATTTTTACAAATTTACAATCTCCAGCTGTAAAACTATCCAAACTACATTCGCCAAAGATTTGTGAAGTAAAATTGAAAATCCATATAAAAGTGCTATAATGTCGATGCATAGTAGGCTTACATGCTAATCGCTAAAAATATTAAACTCGTACTTAAACAGCATTTCTACATTCTTTAAAACGAAACTAAAAAATGAAATTTGTTTTATTATATGTAGTGGAATTATTAGTTGTACACATCGTAGAAGGTGTTCTAGAAACCCACAAAACTAGAATATTCAGCTAAAGATCAAATAAAAGGGACAAAGAAATCTTTATCATTCACAAAGCATTCATCTTCAAAGTAAAATATCAATAAAGGAACTGTGTTGATATGAGAAAATTTTATTTAATTTGACGAAGAGATATTTCTCGGAATAGGAAGAAACACCGTGGTTTTAATTTTGTGCTCAATACTGGTAGCTAAATGGGAAAAAACTTTTCGCTTACTTGGTCTTCTCCACCACGCATCAGCAGATAATGTCTACAAAATTATATATAACGTATGTCTTACTTTTGCATATAATTGTCGCAATAATTATTTAACAAGACACGTGTTCAATTTTTTACTCCGATTCAAGGTATGACACACGACAAAAAAATCTAAGTTACTCATGTCAGAAGAAACAGGAATAAAAAGGAAAGTTGCATTTAAGCATGAAACAAAAGATTTGATTGATTGGAGATTATTTGATCTTATGTCGACGAATATATTTCAGTCGGAAAAGCCTTCAAACAAGGATTCCTACGCAATCACATAAAAGCTTTGTCATTTTTTCCACTTCAAATGACATTTACCACAGCAATAAAAGCATAAAACTCTATATTAGTTCACTCTCTTTTGCACCTTCAAGGCGTGCAAACTAATACATGCTATAGTGTATTAAGACATAAAGCTAGTCAAAAAGTTGTGGATTACTAGGTAATTATGGGGCGTTTAGACTAAGACAAAGTTGTGGGCCTTTAAGTGATATCTCTTCCTCCCGCTCATTAAGTTCGGTCTTTTGATGACATTTTCGTTCCTCACACTCTTTCGCTTTTGCACTCCCCTGTTTGTCTTTGCAATTCAAAAAGCAAAGAACAAGGGAAAAGCTTAAAGTTAAAACTGGGAAATCCCACTGCTTCAAGAGTTCTGTGCAACATGCGGTTTTGAAGATCAGAACCACTTTAAATTAAGCATACTTACTTTGACCCGAATAGCAAAAATTAAATACAAGAAGTATGTATACATACATTACAGAAGCCCGGGCTTGTTGTCTTAAGCCGTTTTATTCTACTTTGACAATCTGCTAATGTCGTCAAATAAAATATAGTGAGTTTTTATCGCGACAGCTAAAATCGTAAAAAATTGATTGATACTTAATATTTGGTACATGCAATGCATTATATATTTTAGCTGCAACAATCACTCTTGTAAATATGCTTTATCTGCTCACCATTACGACCAGAACTGCTACCACGATGCATGTATTCAACTTCATCATATTCATTCAATGGAGCAATGTTTCATGAGATTGATAAGTGGCCCGACTGAACAACGAATGAAGTGAGTTGTGATAAGATATCGGTGACGTTATATAGTGACGGTTTAACGCCTCAAAATATGCAGAGCATAGACAATTAAAATTATTATAATGAAGCACAAGAAATAATAATAACTATTTTTCTTTTATTATATTCTCTTGTTATTGCTACAGCTCATTTCAAAAGAATGAAGAATTTTACTCATAGTTTTGAAGTTTTATTTAACATCGTACTTATGGGATCTAATAAACTGGCAATCGTCAAATTAGGCGGTTTTAACTTAATAACTTCGCCCTTTTGTGATGCAAGTACCGTGAAGACAATTGCCCAGACAGTGACAACTCTAGCGTAACTCTCTATGAGATGTATTTTATCTCATTTTCTTAATTACCAAACAAACTATTACACTGTCATACACAAACATCAGAAAAGCTCAAACATAGATCGGTCAATACTAAAAACATGAATTAATATTTGCTGAAGTAGCTTTAGGATGAAAAACAATCATCATGCCATTTGTAAATTGTGCCTTGTGCTAGATATAATTTATCAGATTTACATTCTTAAAGGACACCATCTGATTCTTTAATGTGCAATAATTTTGTTTATGTTTTTATTCTAGAGAATACTCGGTGTAACACAGCTGAATACTTGCTTTACTTTAGTTAAGCAATTAATTCTTAATCGAGCTAACTTTGAGACATAAATGGTTGCTTTATTATAAAAATGCTATTTTAAAAACAAAAATCTTTGATTGTAAGAAAGTCCTAAATTAAAGAAATCTCTTTACCAGTGCAAGTTAATGTTCAATATAACAAATACTACGTTAAAAGGAGTGGCAGTGTATTATCGTTAAAAGCCTCGCCATACTATCATTACGCAGTAAGTTACCATAACGAAACAAACAACGAACAAAAGGTATAGCTATTGTCTTGTCATAACTAATTTTAGCATGTCTTCACTTTACTTGTGAACTATCTTTACATTTGAAAACGTTTGTAATCTAGACCTTTATGAAGAGGTCTTGAATCTCAAGAAATACTAAGATCTCATCAATTAACAGTAATTTAATTAAGTGCTGGTGTTAATTTTTTACATTCAAAACGCTTGGAGATAGTTGCGATGGATTTAGTTTTAAAAAACTTGTATCACTCTATATTTTAGTTATTTATTATTTAATCTTGCGCAAAACATTTCTTGGTAGGTATGTGGTGAAATTAACAAACGAAACAGCTGAAGCAAGTGATATGAACTTAAGTATTTGATATTCAAAGTATTGCTGAAAACATGCATAGAGTGGAAAAGCAATTTTGAAATTAAAAGTTTTTCATTTATTGAAGTAAATATTTTTTAGCACAGTAAAGACATTAAGATGGACTATATCAGGTTATACAGATGCAATTATACTTTTCATTTATTTATACGAATGGCTGCAAGAAGAGTTCCGGTAATATTAGTCGATCAGCATTATACTTATCAAGATATGCCAGAATAAGAGGAACAAACAGTATATGTCTACTTTACTGCATGTGCAACTAAGTGCTATATAATTTATAAGAACGTTGGCTGCGGTTAGCCAATGTTCCTGCAAAGTTCTAGACTGACTGTTCTATTTCTGACTGGCAGCCATGCATTGCAATAATTGCATTCTTAACAATCTATACGTGGCACAAAAAAAATTCTTGGCAATGCTCAACTATTTGCTCTTTATACTGTTTAAATGTTGTTGAAGTGACATGATAAAAATTCTAAAGACAGCAGAAAGCTGATATACAGAGGAAAAGTAGCTTTGAAGTGATAATTCTTATAATTTTATCTCAATCGAGTGGTCTACGCGTGTAATAGTTGCTTGTAAAAGATAAACAAGAGAGCACAATCATTTGCAGAAGCTCTGCATTTTTATAAAGCTTGCCTTGTTAGACAAATTACATAATAACTTGTAAGATTTACGACATATTGAAAGGAAGACACGTCACTTTTTCTATTAAATTATTGCTCTTTCCACACACGATATTGCACTTAACTGCTCATAAACTCTATCCACCTCATAAAATTAAAATATAATATCAGCCTAAGCAAACAAGAAGAAACCACATCAAAGTGTCTAATAAAAAAAACCCCTTAAAATAGGTTGTAAAACAAATTCTGACAATTTAATCCACATTTTGGGGTTTGTTTGCTTATTTTGAATAGATAGAAACGCAGCCAAGTGAAGCAAATTTCGTAAATAATGTTTATATATTTATGATTATTTACTGACGACGCGCTCCTTTGATGACGACGGGAAAGAGAACTTTCAGCATTATGTAGTGCTGTTTGTCTGTTCATCTCTCATTTCAAATATCAAAAGCTGGAAAGTGCTGGAATACTGTGTTGTTGAACAACACTAATAAACGAAACGCTCGAATACCATATTTCAAATTTCATTGTCTTCTGACGATGTACAACTGAAGATTAAGGGAAATTCATTAACAGAGCTTAAATTATCTGAATAAAGTATATAATTCCATTGCAAAGCATTATTTAATTTTGGAAGACCGCACGCTTTCAAAAGGTGGTAATAACGTTAGATTGTGTCACAGTGCGTTCATTGTGTATTATAATACAATTTGCTGAATTTAAATAACAAACAGTAAAGCAATCGAATGCAAGATTAGTGAATCGTGACTAAAACACCACACGAGTAAATACGAGTACATACGAGTGAAATAGGAGTACATAGAAGTACATACGACTGATATACAAGTACATACGACGGATATACGAGTACATACCACTTACGTACTAGCATATTCTAGACTTCTAGTCACAAATAGGAAGTGGCAATATTTTAGATAATACATAGATATTTGCATTTACTTTTGCTTGTATTTGTCTGGGCTCTAGGGCAACCATTTGATGGATTTAAATGTTGAAAATGTATTATATTTGCATACTACATTCATTTGCATGTTTCGATTGAATTTGGTATCTGATGTGGATTTACTCCTCAAATTTTGCTTTCATTACATTTATGATACGAAAAAAATATGAGATAGTCTATTAAGAAATCAATTGGATTGCACATTAGCTCACATCCAGCCCTTATTTTATACTTCATAAATAAATTAATTCTTCAAGATACTGATTTTGCCTGACCTTTATACATGAGGTTGTTTTGTGGTTGTTTTGAGGTTACTTTTATATATGCTTTAAACTCTATATAACTGAGGACTGAACAAAAATATGGGAGAAATAAAAGTTAAGAGTATGTGAGGTCATGCAAAAAAAAACATTAAAAGACGCAACTCGATCGTTTAGTTTATGTTACACAATTTACAGAAGAGTAATTGGATAACGCAATAAACAAAATGAATTACATAAATAAGAATGTAATTCTTACTACCTGATTACATGGAGGCGGGCTGGCCCGAATAGCAAGCTAGCCAGATGATTTCAAGGGATTAAAATAGCCAAAATTTCAAGGTTAAAATTACAACTGTTTGCGAAGCACTACATGTCACTCGAGTTGTAATTCTCAAGTTAGGGCAAATTGGTCATTTCAATTTTAAAAGTTTTGAGAAGTAATTATATCAGAATAATGTGAAATTGCTTGAGAAGATTTATCTGATGATAACTATTGAATCGTTTCCATTTACCAAAATCATTTAACGCTTGGCTGAATCCTGGCTGCTGGGCTCATGTAATCAGCAAACCATAGGGAAACATACTTTTATTAATGTCTTAATACATGTCTGTATTTCAATTTGGTTTTCATATATTATGCTATGAATTAGTTACTAATTTGAGGGAATCTGCATGTGAAGGGTATAATGCATAAACTATTTCATTCGTACAAATTTTTTTGAGCGTTTTATTGAAAGAAATAGAGAAAAAATACATTACAGTGAAATCAAAGTGTAATCTGTTACTGAAACTAGTTTCATCTAATACTTAGTTCAAAATTTTCTTTGATTAAGTGGGCAGATGATGAAAATTTTAGCCATAAATGGAGCCTATATAAAAAAATATCATGGCTAAAGATATACAAATATAAAAAAATTTCAAGATACAAAGATTATTTTGTAAAGCTACGAGATGTATTACAAAAAATACTTGTGTGGATAGAAAATACATCTTTTGCTTATACTTGTTCTGAGAAACGATGATTACTTTCAAAAAATACTTACTTTCACAATTTTTCCAGAGTACCCATGTTTATAATTACATCGATACGAAAAATCAAGACGGATACAAAGACCATTGTTCTTACAAGGTCGTCTAATGCAAGCATTGTAATCTACAATTAAATATAAAAATTACTAGTAAAAAATACTGCGCACATAATGGGTGTACATAAGATTGGGTGGCACAAAGTTAATCAGTAGGAAACTATGTGCTTATATTATTTACACACATTGATGTTTAAAAATAAATGGCATTGTATATAAGAAGGCAAACCTAGGTGCGAACAATTGTAGTCAGTTTGACGAAGTTTATCAAAAATGAAGCTAAATCTATGAGGATTTTTCTGTTTTGTTGTGATCTTCTGTGAGAAAAACAACATAATTGATGTTAATCTAATTTTTCAATTAAATTTTAGTAAAAAATAGTTTTTTTCATTTTTTTAAAATTTTCTTTATCATAAATGTAAAAATATCAACTAAATATTGCTTGTATGTAGCTGACAAATAAACCTTGATAATACAGCGTAAAAATTATGCTGTAATAAGACAATTGTAAACAATCAAACTAGTTAGCTGCAAAGCAGTTCAAGAGCACACAGTTATCATTTACATGAAGCTAGAATGCACATAAACTTATTACAATTACTATGTTGCGAATATTAAGTTTAAAATGTTGTTTCTATCTATAAAATTTGTAAACAGAGTAATGTATATCTCAACATGGATATATATTTGAACTAACAATGCATAGTAAATAGTCAAGGAAATAAAAGGGACTAAATAAATACAAAATTCTTACACTGACAATTCTTTCCAAAGTAACCATATCTGCACCGGCATTGATAAGAAAGTCCAATTCTGACACAACTACCACCATACTTACAAGGTTTGCTCAAACAAATATGTCTTCTTATAAAACACAAACAGATTAAAATGGAGCACTTCGCGTTTAAAGCATTTCTGAAATAGATTCTGTGCATATTTTTATTCTAAAAGCTTTTTGTCGTTTAACTCAAAATGTTGAAATTAATTAATTACAATAAGAAAATATGCAGTGTGTTTCAACTTCAAAGATGGTTTTAGATTAAAGATGCATGGTGAAAAATCTCGAATAGAGAGCTGGGGTAAAAAATGCCACTGACATTTGTTTTAATAATTACAAAACGGAATCTGCATTAGGATAAATGATCCATTCTAACACAACAACCACTTTCTTAAAAGGTTTTCTAAAACAAACATGATGATCTTGTAGAACGTAGCGAAATCATCGCACAACAACTCGAAGGGAAACTAAAAATATTAAGTGAACTCGATGAAGAAATACCGAAAGCGTGTAATGTTAATAAAATACAAGGTGAAATCGAGGACTCAGCCGAAAATTCTGATAGAGTTATGAGTATGAAACGAAAGAATGACAATCTGGTTGATACGAATGTCAACGATATCATATCGAACTCGAATTTGACGAACATGTCAAACCCTGGCCAACACTGAAAGTAACCTGATTGATCTACATCTACAAACATGTAACGATACTTCCGGATTCAAACCATTTACTTAAAGTTGTATCACCTTAGTTACATTTCGTGCAACATATGGTTACTGATTCAAACTTACTATATTCATACACTGCGACAAAGATAAAATTTAAATTGTAATTTGGGGAAGGCACCTATTACAAAAATTGTCTATTATGGAGTGTTGTCCAATAAATTTGAGGATTTATTATATTTGAGAGTCTTGAAGTATTTATTAAATCATGTAGCTACGCTACATACATATAAAGAATCCACTAAAACATTGTATCTATAAAACAACTTTAGGTTTATAAGATTTTAAGTGGTGTTAGGTTATAAGTAGCATTTTTTATACATTCATCATATTGCTAACGCTTTTAAATATTATTTAAACTTTTCAAATAAATTTGCTTTGACATTTGCTTGCCCATAATTTAAATACTTATTACAGTATTTGTCAAAAAAATTTTTCACTCCCATTATTTGAACAAACCATTATCTTAAAAGCGGTAGCTTTGCCTAAAACATTACTTGTTTCTTTTCGATCAATTGCGTTAGAATTCCTCTGTATCTTTTATGAGGTTTGATAAAGAAATTATTTGAAAGCTATTCATGAAGAAACATAATTTTTTTATTAAAAAATATGTAATTTGCCCAGTGTAATGAATTTTAGATTTTCTGCCTACTTGGACTATAATATGTTCTTAGGCATTGCTTTGTAATTTTCATATTTTGTTTTTTTTACTAAAAACAGTAATAATATCTTTTAAAGACGAAGAAAGTTATGTCTATTTTAATTTGGTTAGAATATTAATCTTATGTTTCTCTTGCAGTATTAAAGGTTTGAGAGGGTGTCAGGAAATTCAAGATACGCTGAAGAAGATACGAAACATTTCACTTCCCCCAGAAAAGACTTTTAATGGAATTAGGTGGAATGATGGTAAGAATATTCAATTTCAAAAAAAATGAAATATCTTTTATCAGTAAAAAAGTACAAATATAAGTAATTGAAAAATTTTGTAGCTTGTAAAGCTTGGAGTCTAATGTGTAAAACTACATGCGTCTTGATTAATATATAGAACAGCACTGTAGAATTTGAGATGCCTTAAAAAGACTTTTATTATTCTAATCTTTATCATTTTGTTCTACAACACTGCTCTTCTCAGTGCAATACATTTACTACCCAAAGTGCCAATAAAACAAAAACTGTCATTTGATTTTTTCCTCTGTTCTGTGAACATTTTGTTACGCTGTGTCGCGTAAGCTAGTTTGTTTTGACGTTACACTTTGCAAATAACTAATTTTTGTGGGGTTAGAATCACCATTTCGTGTAATTTACATTCCAAACAACGCACGTGGCCATGTAAAGTTTGTGACGTTACACGTTAGAGTCCATTTAGGTCTAAGTATCTTTTAGTGCGGTAAACGGAGGGGCGGATCCAGCTATACTGACACCTGCAGCAAAATTTTTCACATTAAAAATTTTCTTTGTCAGTTCAGAATTTCATTTCGCTTTCAATGATTAGCAAACAGTAATGTTTGTCTCATTATCTTAAAAATTCGCATGCCTCAACAACTCAACAAACACTAGCTTACTATAACATATTATTGTAAACCAAGTGTTTTTTAGTAAAACGCAATTGGCTTCTTGTACAGCAAAGACTGACAGAGCAACTGACAAACACTATATTCAAATTTCATTGACTGTCACAGTAATAAAAAAATGGAAGTGAAATATAAAATTCAGGATTCTTAGTAGAAAGATAGCATTTGTATTTGTCAACCGTTCGAAAGACAGACAATAATGAGGTTGCGTAAATGAGATATGAACAGCAAAAGTAGCTCAGACATAGACACATGCACCAAGAAACCGAATTTCTACTCACAAACAAACTACGATACATTATGTTATGTAGCAAAGGCAGCTCACTTTTACTCGGGCAATTGAAATACTTCTGTTCTCAATAAATGGAAAATATTCATTTTAGGAGTAAAAATCGGGTTGTATGGCTTCGCTACCTTGTAGGAATGATCAACTTTAAGAAAAAGTATCCCAAATTTTATGATTTTTCGAAATACACAATCTCACAAATCCTTGGATTCAATGAAATACAGTGTATATTGTATTTTCTATTTGTATACTTTACTAATGGATGATTGACATGTTGTTCTTTTTCTATTTGCATTTATAATTACTACTCTGATTTCTTCATGCAGTTAGCTATTCCTTTTATCAATCATTCTTAAGCCAAAGAACTTAACTATATGGATCTATATTGAAAATGCTCAATAAATGTATAATAATCTTGATGTTTCATTAGCTTTTGATGCCATATTAGAAATTCAAAATCATTGTGTTTGCTAATAATTAATATTTGATACAACTTGTCTTTGCTCATCAGTAAATAACCGGTTGTTATCAAAACCAAACAGGTGCTTGCTCAATGTGCGCACAAATCTAAATTTATTTTTCTAACTTTCAAATAAAAACAGTTTTTTAATTCGAAAATTTAAAACACAATATAGTAAAATATAATTTTGTAATATGAATTACTTCAAAAAGAGCAGAATTAAAAGAATTTAATAGCTAAAATTGAATTGCGAAAGTTAAGAATTAATGACGAATGGTTGCTTATGGATCTAATTAAAGTGCGTAATAGAGTCAATTTAGTTGGAGTAGCTTCAAAATTTACCATGGAATTTTCTGTTTGCGATAGAAAACAAATTAAAATGACTTTTCAATATACCGTTCTTTTTCATTTCCTTTTGGATACAAGCATAAAACAAACAATCTTTAACGTCAAGTTGACGGCAATAATAAAATATCACACTTCTGTACCTTTGAAAAGATAGCCATCTTCAAATGTAAACTATTCTATTTGTCAATGAAATAATCAAAGAATATGGAAAATTGACGGCTTTTAAATGTCATAAATATGTGATGTTATAACACTTAACATTTGTGATACAATAACGTCATAAACGATGTCACAAATTTCTGTTATGTTATAAAGTTTAAATTATTAAGCCCTTAATAATTGAGCGCAGGTTTTACGGAGAAATATCCGACCAAAACTATTTTGTACAGACTGAGCCCGTAATGTGAGTAAATAAAAAAATGATTTTAAGAGTGGAGCATTTACTTCATATTTGTTTTATTTTCGGCTGAACATTTTGAACAGTTTATGACACGAAATTTTATCGCGAATTATATTTATTGCTAATGCAAGATCATATAAATACTTATGATCTTATGATGTGATAGCAATGTTGTTCGAGAGTTAAATAGTTCTAAAATCAAAATAAAATTAGTTATGCACTTCCACTTGGGGCAAAAGAATGGCATTTATATGTTCTTTGCAATAGCATTAAGCAAATTTGTCATAAAGTTTTACGTCATCAACAATTGAAACACGTTTACCTAAAACAAAAACACCATTAACTTAAATTACAGAACAGATGCGCTACTTTTAAAAGCATTTTCACTTCATAAATAGTTTTGTTTTTATATGACTCGAAAATTCATTTAAAAAATCAATATTTAATGGATTGTAATTTGATTTAAATAATAAATGCAACTCCGATTTATAAAGCAACTTTAAGTTGGTAAAAAACTTTATAAAATGTTCACTGACAACTTTTTTGTAAACTGCAATTTTGAAGTATAAACTGGAACAACCTTCATATGAAATTACAATGACATGAAAAATATTAAAGGAAACAAACGTATTAATAATTTACGTATTGGCTATTAATGATGTTGACTTTTTTATGAAAATGCGTTGATCTTTAGAAATGTTAATCATTTTAAGATGAGCCCTACATGGAGCAACATGTTGTGCACAAAGAAATGTTTAAAGTTACTGTTGACGATCTTTTTTGCGTCTAAATTTGTTTATGAGGTCAAAACCTCAAGTTGTAACCAGTACAGCGGCTCTATATATAAAGGTAAGGCAATAAATAAAATAGACGTATATATAGAAAATATAAAAATAGTTTGAAATTTTCGAAATGCTTAGTAGACTTTGAATTTAGGAAAATATCTAATTGATTAATGACAGCATCGATAAATAAAAATTAACAGGAAAGAGATCAAATTGTAGGAATGGCAGGTTGAACTACTCGTGCAAACAGCAAACAAGATATAAAAATAAATTTTGTAATAATGGGCTGTTAGTTTGAGTTTTAATTTACAATATATGAAAGTTTCAGAAAAAAAGATGTTAACAAAGTATAAGACTGCTGATCCGATAAGATGCGTAGACTTTGCATATTTAGTGCATTGATATTTTTAACACTTAATTAATGAAATCTGTCGTAAATTGTTTTATTATTCCTATGCGAGCAATATCACTTTTGATTGGTCAACTATCTGCAATTGATTGTCAATATCTGTGAGTATGATGTCATATCTACAAACAATGGTTTCTAAAATTATGGAAGCAATTAAAATCCTGTTTTGACAAAAAAATCGAAAAACAGCGATAATTGCCACAGTTTTTTAAAAACGATGTGAAAGTTTGCAACAGAAACGATGCAGAAAACACTAAAAATGCTGCGAAGCTGGCTTTCAACGTATCTACAACATATCTGACAAAAAGAAATTAGCAAAGATTTGAAAAATGTTTAACATTTTTATGTTTTAAGATTATTTCAGTTAGTTAAAGTGCATAATAAAGTAATTATTAAACTCAACTTTTGCATGATATCAAGATATATTCAGACCAAGGTCAATGTTAACTACCGAAGCAAAGCTGGGCTTAAAATGTCTTTCTGTGGCATGACGTAATTGTGTAAATACTATTTTAAAGCCCAAAATGTGTTAAACAAAACAATGAAACTTTTTACGCTTTTTCACTAAAAAGAATTGTGAATGAACATTAGTCAACAAAAAATTTTTGTTATTCCAGGGGAAGCTGAAACATTTTATGTGCATGTTAGAGTAAGTCATCCATGGGAAAAAACTATAAGAGTTATCACTTTATTTTAATGGTTTTAATTCAGAGCTTGCGTGACCGCTTTTGTATACACTAATGATATTGCGCAAAGCGTTAATTAAAAGTTCTTTTATATACAATTGTTCGATAAAACTTTCTGTTAATTATACTATTCAGTGGAAACATTAACAAATATTTCTGCGTAAAATAGCTTGTGGACAAAAAGATTATGCATGGTGTGAATAAAAACATCAAACAACCAAACTTACACAACTGTGGAATGGAGTTACTCGTCATCAAATATTCAAAAAGTATTTTTGTTTTGTAAACCAAGACACTTTTGTCCAATGACATAGAAATGGATTTGAAATACACAAATCATGCTTGCAACAAGCTTTTCAAAGTGAACTATCTAACTTTCTACAAACTTCTATCCTACAATTTTTTTATTTTTTTACATGCATCTTATAGAACATATCTACGCATTAAAATTGCCTTTCATGTAATGTCTTCCTTTATTAGGTTGGAGACTTTACGATACTATTTATAAGAAAATTAATGTGAATGACAAATTAAAATGCATCACACTTTGTGTAAAGGAGCCATGTTGTCTATCAGTAAACCACAGGGAAAGGTTTAGCCAAGGACGTTGGAGTCTTTGTGAAATGTTACATAGTGCTCTTAACGAAACCAACACAAGCAATTTCAAAAAAAATCGATTTTATCAGTACATTTTTATGAATTCACGTTTCAAGGTAGGAAAGACCTTTATTTCAAAATACAGTTAAATAAAAATTACTTACTATAATGAATAAGAGTTAAATACGTAGAAATGTTTAGGGTGTGGTATCGCTTGGACTTTTATATATACTTTATATATAATATCATCGTTGGTAGGCATTTAAAAAAAGACAAAGATTAATAAACATCTTGACTGAGTAAGTCAATTTTCAGTATCAGAGTAGCATGTAGGGACACCGGAATTTCAATAATTTTGGTGGGGGCAAGTATTCATACATGCATGTTTTGCCTGATTACCTCCTTCTGAAAGCAATTGTTTTTGACGTGCTGTAACGACGAATATATGAATATCCCTCCCTTAATTTTCAACGATCAGGTGTCGCTGAGTGGCATAAGCAATCGAAATTGCAAAGCTTGTCCAACTCATGTCTTTCCTTTGCAAATATAAAAACCCTATCTTTGTTTTGTTTATTAACAATGGTCTAAAACTACAAAAATTTAGACAGCTGCAGTAAGAAATGAAACGAAAGATATGTGCATTCGATGCTAAAACATCATCTTTTAAATGTTAAAATTCTATTCATGGATATTCAGCAATTGAAGCGGACATTATCTGTCAAAGATTTGAACCACGTTTTGTAAATATTAGCCTATTTTTGCTGACATGGCACATTTTTCTTCTATTATAGCAAGCCTATACTTATTTCAAAATTACTCTATCACTAACTGTGCTCTAAAAGAACAAGTCATGTTTTTGGCAGTTAATGTTAAATTTGATATAAGGTACAGGTTATATTTCACATGCAGATTATTCCCCACAGTTAATTAAACTGAAAGAAACATATAACGTGTTGAAATAATTTATAAAAAAGTATTTTTAGCTCAACTTGTTATCATTAAAAAAAATTATTTCATTTTAGAAGTTTAATGCATTATGTGAGACAAAATCGTGTAAGTTTTCTTTGCTTTTTATGGTCAGTTTTTTATGATATTGACGTAATTTATGTACATTTTCTTCATTCTTTTTAAGCAAATAATAAAACTTACGATTTGCTTTTTCCTGATGCGAATGTCGAAAATGTGATTTTATTGGATAACGTGATGCCTAATATGGTAGAGATGTCGTTGATGTTTTGGATGAAAACAAATGAATTTCGACAAATGGCGTTGTTGTCTTACGCCGTGAAAGATAGTCCTGGTGAATTTTTTATTGGCATTGACGAAAAATGGCTGATTATTACCATGAAGTCAACGGATAATTTGTAAGGACAAGACTATTTATCATTCTATTTAAATTGTTGTTACCGAGCCATGAGATTTATGAGCCTGTTGTGATATTTTTTGCATTATTTATTATTTCTTTAGATTATATGATATGTGTATTAAACAGGCATATATACGAGACAATACAATAAACACGAAGAAATATAAATGAAATTAATATGAGTTTCAGACTTACAGTACTTTAGCATACTTTGCAATTTTCTAGCATCCAGATAGAAAAATTTTAAGAAAATAAATTATAACTTAACATTTGATAAATATAGTTAAGTTTTTCCAAATCGTTTTTTAATAACTATTTCTCATTTTATAAATATAGATAAGTTTTTCCAAATCGTTTTTTAATAACTATTTGTCATCTTCAATTGAGACGTCTTCATGTTAATCGTAGAACTGTTACGCAAACGTTCGAATGCAAGCAAGCCAATTATGTTTTTACAAGATGTTAAGTTGCACAACAAGGAGGAAAAGTGGGTTATTTATAAAAAAAAATTAAAGCTAAACGTATTTTAATTTAATAGTCAATAATTACTCGTCAGTGTACATTCAATATAAAATTGAACGATGCAAGTCTAGCTATATGCGCAAGAAATAAAAAAGTCATTGTTAGTGCCGTACCTACTGAATAAAAAGTAAAATTGTAGTTAAAATCGCAAAAGTTATATAACAGACAAAAATCAGATTCTGAAATTAAACATTAACAGCCGAAAACAAATTGTCTTTAAAAAGCCATATACGTATGATTTGTACTACTTATTTTTAAAAAAGCAAACAGCGTTTCAAACTTCGCATTTTACATCCACTGAGTATATTTAAAACAAAGGATAAAGAGAAATTTTTATCTCATTGTATTTTGTTTTAATGCACTCAGTTCATGTAAATTGCCAATTTTTAAACGCGCCTAATTACAGGAAAAAATTCAGACACATAATGCTTACAACAAGAACAGAATTATATTAGATTAGGTTGTAGCAATAATTTTAGAAAATGATGTAGCCGATTTTATCAGTAAAATATATATTTTCTGACTCGTTTTCAAAGTTGGAACTGGCAATTTAAAAGTTTTTGGTTAAGTGAAAATCGCTTGTAGAACTTGCTCAATATAGCTTAAATTACACGAGATATTAATTTATAATGAAATAGATGTTTTCATATAAAAATCACATGCTTATAAACACCAACATCCTTCACGATGGTTTTTTTACAGATTTTAGTTTTCATGCTTTCTACAAGATGAATCATTGCCATTTACGCAGCAATCAGTTATATATTGAATTGATATAACAAATCTCTTGTCAGATTGTTAGTCAAACCTCTTTGCCACATAGAAATGTTTTCCTTGTACACAGTTACTGGTTCCCTCGCTACATTCTTCCGGATTTTGCTTCTTATGTTTTTATCTTATCATTTGTAGCTTGTAAGCTTACAAATGTATATATTTATAACTCCTTATTCACAGCTATTTGCTGTATACAATGTAACATAACAAATGTGATGTTAATGTTATGTAAATGCTATGATATCACCATTTATGTATAATTTAATCTGTGTTTTAATTTGTCGAATTAAACTTGATACTAAGTTTCTTTGCATATTCAAAGAAAATAAGTCTGTTGCGAAGGAACATTAAAAATTTTTGAAAGAGTTTTTTTTGACAAAGATCGATTTCCATGTTTGACGATTTGCATTTAGCTAAACAATTTTTAATCAAACACAATGTAATAATGACAAGTTTTATTGCAACCGTTCGTCTTCCTTAAGCTACTTGCATGAAAAAAGTTTTTACAACGTACATAAAATTTTAAACTCATGAGTATTCAATAAAAGATGGTGAAGGCAAAAATATTTAACAGTTTATCATGATTATTTTACAGAAAACTAAATATTTCACAAATCAGCGATGGTTGCTGGCATCATCTAGCCATCATAATTGGTCGCACTAGTAAAAAAATTTTTCTCGATGGATTTATAACTTATAACGAAGCTATGGTCAGTCATTCATTACCACTATTACATGGTGGTGGTGTTGTTGCTATTGGTCAAAAACTTGAATGTGAGAATGCTGTTTTTGATCCAAATATGTCATTTGTTGGTGAAATACGTTATTTGAACTTGTGGAGTAAGGACGTGACGCGAGATACAACTTGTCCTATGATGTTGATTACTGACGAATGCACCACTGGTCGAAATGATGCTTTTATAATTAAATGGAGTCGTGTGTACCAACTTGCAAGTGGAAATATTATATTATGTATATAAAATTGAATATAAAATTATATGTTTGTATAAATTTGTTTATCATATTATTTTAATGCAGGTGGATGGGGAAGTCAGTTTAAAAAACGTTTTACTTTTTGAGTGGAATGCAGTTATTTGAAATAAATTTTGCACTACCAAACCGTTAGAGCAAAATCTTCCAACATGCGATAGATATGAATTACCTAAAAATTCGCACAATCCTAAAAAACATATAGCCAATGATAATTATTTGCTCACCAATTTATTAGAAGCAGATACAAAGTGTTTCTTTTGAAAGTAATATAAGTTTAAGTATAAACTTTTTAAATCTATATATTTTATATATCTACTGTATCCTTTCATTCTACAAAAAATAAATCTGTCGTTTCTTATTTCAGCTACCTACAAACCAGTTTGCGTCGACGCAGATTGGACATTTTCCTTCAATAAACAAGGATGGTCAGTCTGTAGCACAAAAAACAACTCTATCACTGGCTTTTATCGCAATGCCCTAATAGACTATGATGGAATTAACCGTCTTGAGAAAGCAAAATGCTGTACATCTAGTCCAAAATATTTTGCAGAGAAAGGTGTTTGTCAACGCGCTAATTGGCGTCATTCTTTAGACAAGTTAGTGCCTTACTTCATAACTGAAATTTTAAAACATCATATATTGGTTTATCAAGCTAGTTTATAATTATGGAAAAATTAATGAAAGCATAAGAAATTTGTTGTGCTCTTCGTAATGCTAGAACTTCCTCCAATTAACGTCCTTGCCAATTGCAATTTCTCCCTCAATCTGAAAACACTCCTAGCTAAATTTGGAGGTTGTGATTTTATAGTCTGATAACATTGCATTATTAAGAATGAAACATTAAAGGAATTAAAAATTAAAGGAATTAAAAGCTAATTGAACAACAATTAGCGAATACAAAATACATTTTTCAACAAGTTCAAATTCTAAATTAAAGTTCTACATAACTAAGTAAAATAGTTACATGTTTGTAAATGTAGATCGTCCAGGTTAGTATAGTCCTGAGAAGGACTGTTTTCCTTTTTGTTGACGGACGTTTCGACAACCTTAGCGGTAACATCCTCAACAAATACGGCTAACCTGACGTTCACTCCTCATTTGACTCTGAAGATGACTACAGCTAAGGTTGTCGAAACGTCAGTCAACAACAACAAAAACAGTCCTTCTCAGGACTTTACCAACCTGGAAGATGGATATTTAGAAACATGTAACGATACTCCCGGGCTCAAACCATTTACTTTAAGTAAAATAGTTTAGTTTTTTAAAAGTAAAGGTCGTCCCATTTCTCAAAACTCTTATGTTGATCCAAATTATACACTCTTAAGACTTTTTTTGATTTTAAATGCTTATTTTTCATAGAATAACTCCTTAAGTTTCAGCACTGTTAGATATTATGAGTGTGTAATAATCAAAACAAAATAGCAACTCAATTTTTTTAAAACTTTATTGTAGACCAGGCAATTGGGGTGTTTGTGCAGATGGATATTTTCTAAATGGTTTGTATCGTTCAAGTGGCAATCACTTATCTAGCATTGAATATGGACATTGTTGCAAACCAGTTAGTCATCCCGAGAAGTATGGTGATTGTTACCATGAATATATCAAAAATGATTTCAACAAACAGGGATGGGCAATGTGTAAAAAAGATGGCTACTACGTCACTGGGATAAGACGAGATTACATAGGGAATCGGCTTCATAATATTGATTTTTTCAAGTGCTGTAATATGAGGAGTGGTAAGTATCATCCTTTTAGATGATAATACGTTTATGAAGCTTCATAGAATTTCAGTAAAAGGGTTTGGCATCTATTGATGAATTTATATGGAAGCTTAAAAAAGTCATTTATTCTATGATGTGTTTTACGTGTTTGTTACAATCTTTCAGGGAATTTTTTAACTACATAACTTGACCCACTCAATTATGAACATTATAGCTATTTGTCCCCCAAGTGAGTAAGAAATTTTCCCTTTACAAACAATAAAAAATTGAGAAGCATGTGAAAAATTTTTTCCTATAGATGACTTTAAGGTAACATGGTATGACGGTAAAATTGATCCGTTTTGTTACCATAAAGTGATGTAGATCCCTTACAAGAACTAAGCTACTGTCAGAAACGTTGTATGAATTGTGCAATATCATATAAAATACTATACACAGTCCAACCTGCCGTTAGTGACTTAACAGTCACTTTTCGGATCACGACTTAGAGCCCTCTTGCAGGAGGTGAGCGTTTATGGGAAGTTGTAAATATGGTATAGAAGTAATGCAGTAGCAGGAACATAAGCATTGCCCACCTACAGGAGGTGTCTGCTTCTGAGAGTTATATGTTAGTAGAGGTCTACTTTCACTGTAGATACATCATCCCTCTCAATCATTAAAATAGATCCCTTATTACATTTCGCCCCCACAACTTGAACCCTCCGCACTTGAGAATTTTTTAAAAAGGCTTGCATACATTATTGCTTGCTTTTGAATAATGTTTTTATCATGACAATAATTATGTATTTTGTTGTAGTAAATTATGGAGCCATCCTTTCTTTGTAAACTTCTTGCTTCATACGTAATTATTTTTGAAGAAAATTAAGTTTTTATATGCATTCTTTTTTATAGGCTGAAGCTTTTTACCATTGGTTTAATCAGTAAAAAGTTTTGAATATAGATGAAATGTTTGTTTAGGATACTTTTTGTATCTAATATGTTGAAATTTAAATTTTTTTTAAAACGTTGAAAGAAACAATTCGTAGTTAGACAAGCTTTCTTTTAACTTAGCTTCTCTTGCTAAATAATGCAACACGCCTTAGATGATTATATGGCATTGTTCACGTGGCATCGATCTACAAATCTGCTTGAATCATGAAAACATCGCTATTTATAGATGTATATATTTATATGTACAAGGATGTACGATTTAATTTAACTATCTTGCAAATAAATAATTATTCGGATATAGTGTGTTTAAAACCCCACATCATGCCACGTACATAATTTTTTCAAAACACCGTGTAATGATTAAAGATACTTAACATATGCAGACAATGGTTGGTCTATTTGAAATTTTCATGGGCTTTGCAGTAATAAGCTTACAGTTCACAACTTATTTGCCATAAACAAAAACCATTTGTTTCAGTAATCACAGGCATGCTCCAAAGAAATAATAGCATTTAAAAAGGAATTTTTAATGTGGATTTAATACAGACGATGAGTTTTTTTTTGGGTTTTTTGTCGTCTATAATAAATGAACATTAGTAAAAATGCTTCTACGAAATTTTTATTGTATTTGTTGAACGATGTTTTATGATCTTAATTGTTGACAAGATCATTAACCTCAGTAAAAATGACAGTTTTGTCATATTGCTTCATGTCGAAACCCTTTTCATGGGTTACCATGAGAAAAACTAAATTAATGATAGCAACAGTAGTAAACCACTTTTCTACCGACGCTATGTTGATGATACTTTCTGCATGTTTGAAAATAAAACTGATGCCAAACTTTTCAATGATTATCTCAACTCTCGCCATCCTAACATTAAATTTACTTTTGAGACAGAACAAAACAATCAAATTTCTTTCCTCGACATTCTTATAAATAAATCGACTAACAACCTCGATTGACAACCTCGGTTTATTAAAAAAAAACTTACACCCGTTTTCTGGCTAACTTCCTTAGTTTCACCTCCTTCCAATATAAATCTAATCTTATTAAAACTCTTGTTGACCGCATTTATAAAATTAACAACACTAACGACAGCCTAAAGAATGACCTTAAAGAACTTACTAATACTCTCCGACGCAATTCATTTCCACTTTACTTCATTAAGCGCATTATTAGCTTACACAGTAATAAACAAAACACACAAATACCAAACGACACTAATATCACCAACTTACCTAACCAGCGGCATTCTAATAATTATTACTACAAACCTCCATGCATAGGACACATCTCACGAATTACCAAAAAGAAACTAATTAATCTCACCAAATGTTTCTGTCATGACTTAAACATGAAACTTGTCTTCACATCGCACAAAATTAAGAGTTTCTTTAGTTTCAAAGACTCTGTTCCTACTGAACTAAGATCTAACGTGGTCAACAAATTTACTTGTGCAGGATGTAACTCTTGCCATATTGGGGAAACCACCCGACATTTCACCGCAAGGATCAAAGAACACACCACCTCCGACAAAACCTCTCACGTTCATAAACATCTATAAAATCCGGAATGCAAAGCTAAATACAGCCTATCCTGCTTTACTATCATAGGCACTGACAACTCTCTATTTACCCTCAAACTTAAAGAAGCACTACACATACAAAATATAAACCTGACTTGAATAAACAGGTCCAACATTTCAACACCATTATTCAACAAATTATAACTTCCTAATTTATATTTTTTCTGTCTTTCTAACAATACACATCCTGTTAATTGTCCTCAACGTCTTGTAAATAATTAATGTATTCACCGAGTATCAACACTGAAACATGACTTACAGTTAAGTCGAAACATGTTTGTAATTAAAATTAAAAGTTTAAAAATGTTGTCGTTTATCTAAAGCGTTTATATGGGTTATTGTTATATGTATAACTTACACTTTCTCACGAATCACGATTATAAATTTGCTTTTCTCTAGCAACTAAGTACTTCATCAGCATTCAAAGAGTTGTATTCGAGTAAATGTTAAATGGTTAGTGATCCTTGGCAGTGGCCTTGCTAAGATAGATAAATTTTCTGACAAGACGGCGGGACACTTGGGCGTGGCAAAAGAAATGTAGTAAAAAATGGGCTTACAACTGTGTACACATAAAATAACATATGAAATTAACATTTGCAACATTTATATTTAATTTACAATGTACATGACATGTCGGATATTTCGTTTAAAAAAAGTTACCATTTTAATTGAAGCAGGTGCAACAAATGCGAAATAACACAAAATTATTTTAAAATTCTTCGAGATTTGTCGTTCAAGAAAGGCATTTGATGTTCTTGAATCTAAGTTTTCGAAATAATTTCTCGGTTAATGGAAATACTCGCGCGATTCGAAAGGCTTTTTTCTGTCATAATATTGCGAAAGTATGCTTTTACGCATTTCAAACAACAAAATGCTTTTTCATCATGTGCTGATGAGACAGGAACAGTTAGAGCAAGTTGTAACAAGGTTGCAATGCTTGCAAACTGGCCTGTAAAGTTTTGGGTCTTTATTAAATACAGGACAAGCAGACAATTTCAAATAATACAAAATAAAACAAATTCCGAAGAGGGACATCTCGTTTTCTTGATAGTCAAGATATTAAGAGTTTGAAACAAAATAATGTGTAATATTTCGTCTTTATTCCAAAGACTTAATCAGACTTATGATGACTTATAAAGACGAAATATTACACATTATTTTGTTTCAAACTCTTGTAATATCTTGAATGTCAAGAAAACGAGATGTCCCTCTTCGGAATTTGTTTTATTTTGTATTATTAAATACAGGAGAATGGGGAAATTTGACGGACACTAAACTTAACACGTGAATATCTTTCAAACAATTTGCTACCTACTTATGAATCACTGCAAAGAATTTGATAACAAAATATTGCAGATAGCACACAATCTATTGCTATTAATTTTATTGGTGTGAAAGGATTTAAAATCCAAGTGTATTGTCTCTTTGTTACACAATTGAATAAATAATCAGTTTGCCATCTCCCCAATAGCTACGCTATTGATGCTTGAAATAAAAAGCTAACTATGTTTATCGATAGTGATTAGTGGATATAATTTATTTATATTAGTATATTAATATTATATTTGAATACATAGAAGAAACACACATTGCCTATGGATCAGGATTTTACGCAACGCTTATGAGTTATTTCTTTTGAGAACAGAGAACGTGTATCTTACAGACCCTGCCTCTAAGTGTAGTACAGTCAATACAAATATCAACCATTAATTCAAGATTTATTTGGATACAACGGAAGGAATGGATAGACAACATAGCATTGCTAAGTAAGAGAAACTTGCCAATCGTGCTCAAGGAAAAATAGAAGACGCGGTTTTACTTATATAATCTATCTATAGGTTATGAATTATGATTCCAAACGAAATATGTTTACAATTTGAAGTGGATGTACGGAGTTTTCAACGGTAATGTCCGCAAGCCTTGCATTCTCTAATTATAGAATTTTTATCGTTATATAAGTCTATTAATCAAATCAGTATAATTGATCTCTATATCTGAACTGAATGTCACAGACAATGTGAAATATGTGATTTCCAATCGATGAATATCGATTGAGATCGTTTGTTTTCCTTTTATCATACCGTTCCTCAGTTTTACTAACGATTGTTACACATAAGCAACTCAAGATGTTATACAAATGCAAGCGATTGCGAGAATCATTTATATCTCGTTCGGGCAAAGCGATCGCAAATATCATTTATATCTCGTTTGGAGGAATGTCATAAGTTCTTGTACATCGTATAGCTCTTGTACATCATAAGTTCTTGTACATCATATAGCCCTTGTACATCATAAGATGCACCGTTCTTGTACATCATATAGCCAAGTTCGGTGTATTCTGGCCAAAATCCTTTGGTTAGTGGAAAGTTACAGCAAACTAACAGAACTACATAATGTATTTTTCTTACAGATCTTATTTTATAATGCATTGCTGACATTGCTAGTCTTATCAATCAAAGATCAGGTTGATTATTAAAAGTAACATTTTTGTGCGGCATGTGTAACTAAATATGTGTTCGATTTATTGGCAAAATAAACGAAACACTTTTCACAATAATGTACTACAGGCATTTTTAATTGACTGTGCGGCGTATAAAAACAGTGAAGCTCTATCGTTTCATTTTAGGGGAAATACAGTGACACGCAAAAGTATTTAATACACTGGATAATTGTTAATATCGCACGTTCTAATCATTATTTTGTTATGAAAATTGCATGAAATATTCATGTTAGTGTAAGAAACAAAATCTCTGAAGGATATTGAAAAGCAATCAGTATTTTATTTTTTATTCAAAAAAACATCAAAATAAGTAACGCAAAAGTATTCAACACATCAATTTAGTATTTAGTTGCAAATCCTTTATTCTGTTTTACAGCAAGAAGTCTCTTAGCATAGTTCTCAGTGAACTTCTTGCATGTCTCAGGCGTTATTCGATTCAATTCTTCGAAGCAGAAAGTTTTCAAATCTTCCATATTTTTAGGATTCCGCTTGTGGACATTGATTTTGAGAATCCTCCACAAATTTTCGATTGGGTTTAGGTCAGGTGATTGGCTGGGCCATTTCATCACATCAATTTTGTTATCCGTAAACCATTTTTTCATTAGCTTCGAGGTGTGCTTTGGGTTATTGTCTTGTTGAAACACAAAACCACTTTCAAACTGGAAGGAATCAAACGATTTCTTAAGTTTTTCCGTCAAAATGTCTTGATACATAAGGGCATTCATCCTTCCTTCTATGATCTTCAACTCTCCGACTCCATTCGAACAAAAACAAGTCCAAATCATTATACTACCCCCCGAATTTAACTGTTGGGATAGTGTTTTTTGGAGCATGAGATTCTCCGCTTTTTCTCCAAACCTTGTTAGCACCATTATGACCAAAAAGTTCTATTTTTGTCTCATCTTACCATACAACATTGTCCCAATACGTATCTGGCTTCACTAGATATTCGTCGCCAAACTTCAATCGATCAACAACATGTTTCTTCTTCAGAAGAGGCGTTTTTCTGGGAACCTGGAGTGAATACCGGCTCAATAAATAGTGCGACTGATTGTATCTTTGCTAACATTTACTTCAGCACCTTTTAACTGCTCTTGTATCTCTGAACGGGTTACAAATGGGTTCTGTTTCACTTTTTAAATGACCAACCTTTCAATAGAACCAGTAATCTTTCTTGGACGGCCTGTTCTGGGACCATTTAAACAGAGTCACACTTCCTCCATTTTCTGATGATGCATCCCACTGTGTTTACATTCACATTTAAAGCCTGTGATATCTTCCTGTACCCATTCTCTT